AGTCTGCGTACAATTCCTGCGCGAGCTTCTTGAGACTGGTGCGGAAGGAGCTAAGCCGTCGCTCCGGCTTGCAAGATCATTAGTCTCCCGGTGGCCTACAACGAGACTACAAAACTGCGTCGTACTAACATATTCTATGTATTCAAGTGATCAAGATTTCCTCTATTCCAAGATCTCCATTGCTCGAGCGGCAGTGAAATTTGTTCAGAAGCAAGCATGTTGATCAACTCAACCTATAAATCACGCGTCGTGTCATCAACCATACTGCACCGGTGCGAAAGCAGAGACATGACTCACTGTAGTTCACTGACATAGCAAGACGAAGTACTACCACGCCAGTGAGTCATGTGGTTAAATGTAGAACGCAAACTGTTCATACTCACAAGAAACACTTCGCAATCTTGCCCAGGACAGCAGCTGTGAAGATAGCAAGTTGTAGGACATGATTCACTGTCAGGATCACTGGCAGGTATTGATGCTGCAGATATTGAGGCTGTCAAAGGAGCAACGACGATGAGGACAAAGGACAACCGCATTGTTTGTGAGGATGTGATACAGAATATAAATCCAAAGGGGACAGTAAGAAAACGGCTTGGTCTTATGTGAAGAACCTATCCACCTGAAATCCTCTTTCGAACAGATGATATCTGTAATGCCAGCAGATTGCCACCTAGCTTGTGAAGCAAGGTCAATGCCAGCTCGAATCCGCTGTCGGGAACCACACTGATCAGAGCGCGTCCTAATGTCCCCAGACACGGTCTAGGCCGCCCAGGTATGGGTGACCTGCGGCGGGCACGGGTGCGGCTCGTGTAGGATATTAATGTTTTGGGGCGACTTCTGCCAAAAGAACGGCAGAACGGCAAATGGCACAAATCGGCAGAACTCTTGTTCATAGACCCGACGTCTTCTGTAAACACAAGCTTCGTCGAATCAACGGGGACTGCACGCAGCACGTTGCTACTTATGGCCTCGCACATAGTCAACTCTAAAGCGTTCAGTTCGCATCTGTCTGCAATGACTTGCGTATCTGTTTTCGGGGCCCATGTAAAGAATCGTTAGTAGAAACAAGCGATCGGTAGAATAGATGAGTAGAATCTTGTTGACAAGATGACGATACACGGATATTCAATACTCTCGTCTAGTCAACAGAATTCTACTCAAACTTAAATTCAAAGCTATGCATCGAATCTTTAGAATGCGTGCCACAAAAGCCTACTTGTGAGATGTTGTTGAAGCAAGACTTCATGTGGTGGAATCGTGTCTTAAGAATGCTAAATGGAAAATAAACAGTGGATGCGCTGGTACAAAACGACAGGAGTACAAGGTCCGCAGTTCATACCCTGGCTGACGGTTGTAGGTGCATGGAGGGTACGGGTGGCGTCAGACATCCGAATGGGAAACAAGCTCGAGGGATGCTCACTCGCAGAACACCCAGGAAAAATGGGTGGTATTTCTAACGTTGTAATAAGCCGTTGGTGAATGAGTTCGAGGCTCGAGAGTATACAACCGTCGCTGGTAGAACTGACGCTGAGGTATCCAGGGAGGACGGTGCAAGTAGATCTCACCTCTTCCTACAATGGTTGGGAGGGTAAGCCTGCACTATCGGAGTAGTAGGACGTAGGGTTGTCAGAGAAATGCGAGGGGGAGCTGAGAGAGGATGTGACGCGGTCGACACCAGTACCTGCACGACCTTGTTCTCTGAAATCGAACGTTCCGCCGCCAGATGACTCGATCGAAGTTCCCATATAACTCGTTTGGCCTTTGGCGGTAGCGTATGCGGAAGAGGCGCAGCCGAGGCCAGATACTTCAGACGACAGCACACCGTGGCTGATAAGGTAGGCTTTTGTGAGGGGTGAAGCATATGGACACCTAGACTTGACTCGTTAAACTGGTGCTGAAGTGTGAAGAGGAAACACGACAAGGACGACTCACGCAATCGTAGTCACCGTTCGAGTATCACGCCATGGAGTCGCCGTTCAAGTAAAACTCTTGCTCGTGGGGGATGACAAGCAGGAGGCGGACCTTTGTGCAATCGTTAAGGCTGAGGACGGGGAAGAGGACAAATACGTCTAGAAGAGAATATGCGGACGGTCGGGATGAGAGACAGAGCCCTTCGGAGCGTTATCTGGTCAGAATCAGGTACAGACCTTTGGGCCTGAAGGAGAGGCGATACCAGAAAAGCACTTAGTAGAAATATGTGAATGGGAGGGGGCAGGTTGTATGGCGCAACACAAGTGGGGACAGCGAAGAAGGAGAGAGAGAAGCAGAAACAGATGGGCTATTTGAGTGATCGTGAGGCGCACAGACCAGTGCCATTCTAGTAACGAGGTACGAGAATGCGAATCTCCATGCGGGTGCTTACAAAAGCCATGTCAGAATGTGTCAACGGTCGCGATCCGCGTTGGACTTAGAGGTGGGTCATGGCGAGAATGCGGAGCCAAATGATGGGGTGAACGTTGTGAAGACCCAAGGCAAATACCGGTGTATGACGAAGACTGAAGAGGCAGAGTAAATAAGCACTTCCTGACACCAGCGCTGGACGAAAGCACGCACAATGTTGGCTCCTACAATTACAATTCCAAACCCGTATATATCTGTTCGTTCTTACAGCGCTTCTGCATATTGATGCACGTTGCAACAGTCGCCCGAGACCTACTACGTTGACGGTTGAAGGTCACTGTCACTGTCTTGAGTATGCGCTATAACATGGTTCACCGTACTAATATGATGTGAATGATATGAAGAGGGTAGTGGGGTTCATAGCTTACAAAAATCGACCTAATCAAAACCGGAGAAAAGGCTGTACGGCTGCTGGCGAATGAACATTAGCGCTGTCTCGTGCATGCTTGCGAGACATAAAACTCACCTGTCTTGCCAGCTTGCCATAAGATCAATCGGTGAGTTGATGGTCAACTATCCCCACCATATTTTATAACGAACGGGGTCAAAACGCTATCTTCCGTACGATAGTAGCCATGGTTTCTAGGTTCCACAAAGACCCGACCCTCGAGAGAGCTTCACCGCCAGCGCAACATATTTGAGGGTCATGCGCAAGTGCAACTGCGACACAGGACTTCTTGTCGGGGATCCGTGGAAATGGGAGGCAGAAGGTATACGGGCAATGGCGCTGTCACCGAACGGCAAGACAACTGCATGCGGGAGAGAGGCCTGATAAGCAGCTGAAGCGTCCAACGATTTAACGTGGACGGGAAAATGATCGAAGAGGTTTGAACATGTCATAGTAGCGGGGTGGATGGATGGTAGAGCATGTGTAACCTAACCCTAACCCTAACAGAAAACCAGGACTTGGTCGAGGTACTCCAAGCTTGCACACATGGTGGTCAGCAACGTGATAGTCAGAGACTCAGAGAAATACGTCGCGCCTCCATATTGACCTCAATACTATCTTAGTACGTATTTCACCTTACCCAGGATCAACTGACAATATAAATAAGTATAGCGGGATCTCATCTCGGGGTGCCTCTCCATTCCAAATACAGTCTCGACTACCGCAGCAAGATGGTAGCCTATTACTGCTCGTGGAGGCTGCAGGCGGATACGACAGTCAATCTGCCCAGTTTATTGGCCAGGACGTTGGATACCTGCAACATTGGTACAGTCCACCAAGCAAGAGGTTCGATACCAGCAGAGATTATCTCTGCCCCGCACCATGCACCCCAGCACTCAGCACTATGGTATCCCGCGATTCTTTCGACGTTCCACGAAGTGACTGGATCCAAAGCGCAGTCCCAAATATCTTTCAAACCTCAGTGAGTTTTAGCGCGCACCGCAAGTCCATGCACTCATTGTATCCTTGCCAAAGTATACTATTTCGCACAGGACTCGAACCTACGCTCGTACGTGGAGCTGTGCATTTGTTCGTTCGTAATTTCAGCCCTAGGCTATGCGCTTCACCACTACTTACATCACGATCGTTGACGCAATATGGTTTCGGTGCACCCGTCGAAAGATACCAGGAAGCTCGCTATGCCACAATATATCCTCCTGGCGTGCGAGGACTTGGACGACATATCATTCATCAAGATAGGCACCAGGGCGGGCAGAATCGAAGGGAAACAGTGGCGCACAGAACCGCGATTTGATCCTACGTCAGGTCGCAAGAAACGTTGTGCATCCTGCTCAGGTGTCGGTTTCCGAACGTTCTGGGGTGGATTTAGTAAGCTCGCGCTAGCCCTCCGAATCTAAGCATAAGGTTACCAGTACGTGTTACATGATACTCCACAATAACATATTTTAATTATATGCACCGTTTCTACAGCACGATGAGTAGTCGACTTATTGAGTCATCCGAGCACATGTACCAATCCTACCCCCAGCCACGGATCCTACAACCTACCACGGCCCACTACATCTGCCCTTCTCCCAGCGTCGACTAGGGGGACCGATGTCCGAGGTCAAACAACACCCGCCTGTGCAGCTTCTGCGTTCATATCCAGCACCGCCATCTCCTAAGGCAGGAACATGCAGAACCTGTCGGGGTTCACGAGATCTCTCCCGTTCCATAGGGGGACGCACGCCATGAGATTCTCTTGCGTTCACGGACGCCTCAAGGACCCATCATCTGAAAGAGCTTGAAAGATCGAGCTCACTTGTACCTTTGCAGAGATTAATATCACTTCTTTTCAAGGAGAGGGGTAGGGAAGACGGTAATTTCTCATCTCCATCATAATCTTATCATTCATCGTAGCTAACTCTCTATCAATGGTCTTATAATTCAAATCGTTTGTCGTGTACTTAGTCTTCGCGCATTGTTGCACGGACAACTGAACGATTGGCAAATGGTGCATTTACGGTGCAATTGTAGAATCGGTCGTCTAATTCAGGGAGATAGACGCCGTGTGTACATGTTGTGTCATGAGCCATCGGTGCCCTTGCTTGGTGTCCATTCGCTCTCGTATTTCGCTGCGATCCCGTTCCGTTTTACTCCCCACTGTTTGCACGAGAAACCAGACCACTTCTGCGCACATCAAGATCTCCCGATGGCACCAAAAGTCGACCCTCAGAACCTCAGAAAGACGTTTGGGCGCTTTCGAGTTCTGATCGTAGGAAGGGCGAATGCAGGCAAAACGACCATCCTTCAGAAGGTCTGCAACACCACGGAAAAGCCAGAGATTTACAATGCCAAAGGAGACAAGGTGTGTGATATGTTCTGCACCATGCGACGGGTCGAACGCCGATCGCTTATAAATAGATCGATGGCGCCGTCATCGAAGGCTCGAGATTGGTGTGTGCACCATCTGCCCTACGAGTACGCATGCGCTGATGGATGCTTAGCGTGGGAAACACGACATCACGAACGAGATGGTATTCAAAAGCAACCCCGGTTTCGTCTTTCACGACTCGTGTGGTTTCGAAGCGGGTTCCGTAGGAGAATTCGAGGACATGAAGAAATTTATTGCAGAACGTGCGAATACGACAAAGTTGGAGGAGCGAATCCACGCTGTGTGGTAAGTGACTCCCTCCTGGTGTGCTGTGCTCGTTCATCAATGTCCTACAGGTATTGTATTCCGATGGACGATCATTGCCGAACGTTCCAGCGGTCAGAGGAGAAGTTTTTCTCCGAATGTGACACTGGACATGGTGAGCTTGTTGAATGTGTCCCTTGTCGTGGTGTTCGGCATATTAAATGAATATTCATCAGTTCCTGTCATTGTGGTATTCACGAAGTTTGATGCTTTGCATCCAGTAGCATTCGGAGAACTCGAGGAACAACTCATCGGGTTGTCGCAAGAAGAGTGCTTAAAAAGAATCGACGAGTGTGTCGAAGAACTATTCACGAGTACAGGTGTCTTGGATCGGTTATATGCCCCTGAGAACCTTGCACGTCCGAAGTGCTATGTGCGCTTGCAGAGTGAGTTGTTCAGCCCGAGATTGATTTGTCTAGTATGTAAGTTGACATGGGTCATCCGAGATATGGATGAAGTGGATACAGGCTGCGACACACTACTGGAGAACACTACTTTTGCATTGGATGACAAAGAATTATGCTTGTGCTTGGTCTCAACACAACAGTCAAACCTAGAACTTTGTATCAAGTGTGCCATTGAGTGAGTTGTGTAGTTGTGTGTCCACATAGTCGTGTTCTAACATCATCTAGAATGGTTGTTGATTGTGCAAATAAGCAATCCTTGCTGCATCCAACTGATCTTGAAGGTTACCAGTATGACATTGCTAAGTGGTTTTCATATCTCAAAGTAAGACAATGATTGATTGAGTATGATGATGTCTTGGTGATGGTGCTAACTAATGGTAAATATTGCATGGTTAAAACTGTAGACATGCTGATGTGTTGTCCTCAACTGTAGTTGTTTGATGGTAGCTGGTAAGATTGTGGTTTGCAAAACTCAACCATTATTGACAATTATGATGGCTTGCTTCTGTGGGCTTGTTGACAGTGTGTAAGTACCCCAACAGTTTATCATGCTGACCCCATGCTAATGATCCTGATCCCTTGTTACTGCTGGCCTATTGACAGATAGTAAGTGCCTTGTAGGTTTCTGACTCTGAACACATGCTGACAATCCCCATGCCTTGTTGCTGCTGGCCTGTTGACAGTATGTAAGTGCCTGGATGGTCTCTGATCCTGATGTCATGCTGATCATCCCCATGCCTTGTTGCTGCTGGCCTGTTGACAGTATGTAAGTGCCTGGATGGTCTCTGATCCTGATGTCATGCTGATCATCCCCATGCCTTGTTGCTGCTGGCCTGTTGACAGCAGGTAAGTGCCTGGATTGTCTCACATCCTGAACCCTTGCTGATCATCCCCCATGCCTTGTGGCTGCTGGCCTGTTGACAGTGGGTAAGTGCCTGGTTTATCTCTGATCCTGATCCCATGCTGATTATCCCCATGCCTTGTGGTTTCTGGCCTGCTGACAGTATGTAAGTGCCTGGATGGTCTCTGATCCTGATGCCATGCTGATCATCCCCATGCCTTGTGGCCTGGCCTGTTGACAGTTGGTAAGTGCCTGGATTGTCTCACATCCTGAACCCTTGCTGATGATCCTGATGCCTTGCTGCTGCTGCCCTGTTGACAGGAGGTCAGTACCTTGATGGCTGCTCATCCTGAACCCTTGCTGATGATCCTAATGCTTTCTCCCTGCTGGTCTGTTGATAGGCACCAGTAAGTCCCTTGGCTTCTTAAGCTGATTCCATAGTAATAATATGCCCATGTCTTGCTGTTACTGGTTCTTTGACAGGTGGTTGGTCTCTTTATTGTATATTTCATGGAGATCATACTGACATCATGATATCTATTGGTCATTCATAGCCTAATGTAAGTCCTCTCTTCACTATTCTTAGACATATTGAGTCATTGTTGCTTACTATCCAACACATAGTTTGTTGAGTACCCATAGTAATTTCAAGCCCTTCTCCCATGGTCACTCATCTTCAATATTTTGATACCCTACCTAGAATGTGAGTCATTTGCATACTCACCATGTGGCAATTCTGATTGGCACTTTCTCTCTAGCCTGTGAGTCATATGTTGTAACCTGTAACACCTAATGATTCTTATCCCTTATAGGAGGTATGATATTTCCTGTCTAAATCTACCTCTGCCCACTGATGCATGATTTTGTTGGTCTCACATAGCTCGTATGTCCATTCAATAGACTCACCATTTTATGACAGCACTAACCTGGTTCTCTCTCCCTGATAGTTTGTAAGTCATTTGATCATGGTACCACTATCTTCCGCTGTTTGACCATTCATGACTATCAATTGCACAGAATGTAAGTTCATCCATAACTTTCAAGAATGCCACATCAGGAATTTGACAATTCTTTGTTTCAGGAGGCAAGTGTTCTGTTTGAATTGTTTCCGGTGCTAACACCTTTCATCTGCTTCAATGAGTAGATCGAAACCCGGAAAGGTCAACTTGTGCCTGCCCTTCAGCCTGTAGTAGGTACTAAAGTTTCCGCATTGATCCTCATCATTCAAGAGTTTGCAATAGGTTGGCAAGGGAACATGGTTTACTTCTACAAGCAATATCATTCAGACCGGCATTGGTTCGTTTCTGAATGCATGGTCAACTACCATTTTAATCACAAGACGCAGCTACCATCATTGTCCTCGAATACGCCGCCTTCCTTCAGCATGACGATGAACTAGAATTCATCAAGTCTGCTGTGGACTATTACGTGAAATCTCCTATGGCTGTCACTGTGAAGAAAGTCGCAACGGAAATTGCTGGTCGAGGTTACAAGGAAGAGGAGTTGAAGAGGAAGATCCTCGAGTTCATTCTTGAAAATCGCCTGTGTAAGTCCCTCGCCTCGTATCGAACCCGACACTGTTTACCAGTCGCCTGCAGCAAAGGACTTGGCAGCGAAGCAGTAGACGATCCTCTTCCCATCTATGCCGTGTTGTGCCGCTATGATACTGAGCACTGAGTGGTGCAGACCGCTGTCTCTTGCTTTCAAAGTTTCGATGCCCGTTCCCATGCTATGTACTACTATACCGAGCACTCCAGCTTCAACTGCTGACTGTCGCAGACTGTACTATCGGGTTTCAACACCCTTCTTACCGCTCTCGTTATACCGTTTTCTGCGTTGTGAAATGTACTCGCGCTCGTCAAAGTGATCGTCGCTTATTCTTACTTTCAGGAGTGACTTGACTGCGGTGTGATGACAGACACAACTGACAACCCTGTCGATGCTCGTCAGGACATCACGCGGCTCGGGTGAATTAAGTCGTGTACATGAACGTTTTGGGAGAGCGCCGTGAACTTAGAATAGACAGATCGTTGAAAAGACAATCACAGTATTGTATTATCATCTCATAGTTGAACATAATTTCGTGCATCGACAAGAATAAACGAGCGAGGACGAGGTGGACAGCGATCCACACCGACAGGAAATGAGGCGGGAGTATTTAAGAGCATCATGAAGTGTAGGTTTGGGCGTGGGCACGACCTAGGTACCGCCTAAATAAGTTGACAAGCGGGATAGGGAATAGAGGTTAGATTAGCACAGGGATCGAGTGTGCTCATGACGAGGGACGCACCGTTAATATACTTCCGTTCAGCTCAGTTCCTATCGAATCCATTCTTCCGTTCATCATAGAGGGTGCTCCAAACCATCCGCTGCGAACCTGGTGAGTTTATGATCGTCTGTGAACAGGTATGGGTCATCGGGTCAGGGCAGACGGCAGTATTGCTAGTGGTAGACCGTCCAGATGAATAGTCTGTTTCAATAAGTACGCTGACAAGGAAAGTAGGTGACTTAGCGGTTGGAGTTGCAAAGCAAGTGTGGTCGGCTTTCAGTATGTCGATTAGCGATGCTCAGTTAGAGTGTAGACCAGTAAGGGCCAGGACTTGCTACTACTGCAGTCATTGCTCATAGGTGTGTGAGCAAATTTTGTGATTGTAACCCAATTGACAGTGCGAGAACGGCGAGAACGGACTTTACCAACAGTTGTGGCTTTGCTGAACGCTATGTAGAGCGCGTGCCAGCATGCCTTAGAGTACCAAGGTAAGAAGGAACTTCGGTTGTCTTCCTTCTAATGGACAATCAGTGTGATGTAGGGTTAGGGTTAGACTTAACGAAAAGTTCCTCCTTCGAGATTGACGATGAGCAACACACCTGACCAATACTGTTGCATTCCGTCATGATATCGCCCGCATGACTAGCTTAGTGCGTATTTCCACACCAAATGTTCACTTGCAGCATCTAATTAGTTTACAGCTGAGGAACTCACTGGTCTCGAGTACTATCGGCTCACCTCTTTTTCCAAAATGAAAATAACATGTCCATAGTACTATCTTACAAGAGGTAGCCGAGAAGTATATACGATACATATGATTATTTTCTACAAAGAATGTATTGACCGCCGTCATTAGATGTATCGAGGAAAATGCATAAGATAAGATAACGGCGACTTCACATGATCGAACAACCCTGAGGGCACCACCCTTCGCCCAACAACCCCGCCTGCTCCAGCCATCCAGCGCACCCATCTCTCGCTCTGCTCTCAGTGGTATATCCAAGCCCGAGTGCGCTGGCCTTGATGGCGCCTGATGAACGGCGCACTTCTATCGTCAGCTCCTTGTCTTCCTTCTCCCCCGTTGGCACAGTGTAGAACCAGAGAAGCTTCTGCTCTGATGCGAGAAGCTCCACGCGGCCCTCAGGATGCAGTGACAGCGATGTCGTACGAGTCATCCTTGAATATGACTGGCGACTAGCGCAGCTTGAGAAGTCAAAGGAAGAGTGAGCGTCGATGACGTATACGCGCGAGGTGTCGTCGTTCCTGATGAACCGCGGCTCATCCCTTCCTGCCCAACGTCTAGGGAATCATCGACTTGGTCCTGGACGGCAGAACCGAGAGCTTTGCTCACGCAAGCATCCGAGGCGAAATGGACGAGAGGTAAGAAAATCTCAGTGGGCAAGGAACTATCCTTGTACAATCCTTTCTTTGCAGGTACGATATCATCGTCTTCGTCAACAGGTATATCCTCTGCGTTGACCTTGAGAGTAAGGCGGAAGGTCGCTTTGGAGATGTCGAACTGGATGTTCGTAGGGGTACCAACGACCGCTATTGGCCACGGACGACAGAAAGCGCGCACGGCACGGGCACCGTTCGTAAGGAACGATAGGAGAGACGCGGGTTCGCACTTCACAGGTTCGCCTTCTTCGACACTAGAGTTGGCGTAAAGCGAAGAATATACTGGAAGAGTTGATATGGCTGAGAGTCGACGCTCGTGCTGGCGCTAATGAACTCAGTGACGATTTGAACGGCGTCTGGATGCCCGGGACCCTTCCCATTTCTCCTGCGCGCAAGTCGTCATTACACCATAAGCTGAGATCCTCCATGTTCCACCCATCCCCCCAAGGGTGCGAACTATCAGGGCAGTACGTCCACACCGTCCAGTTCAAGCAGTTCTCGCCGTCCGCCGCGTTCAAACTTGCATCAAGCGCACGCTCTTGTCGCGAGTAATCACCCTTGTATTTGCCACTATCGGTGTATCCATACGAGCGCTTGGCATCCATATCGAAAGGCGTCCCAATTTCTCCAATGATAGTTGGGTATCGTGCTGGGCCGGTAGGTGGAAGCGCACCTAGTTGCGTTGCGTCTGCCTTCAAGTAGCCGAGCTGGCTCTGAAGGCTGTTCCGTATGGCGCGTTCACCTATGCGCAAAGCTTGTATCTGGGTTGAATATTTTCCCCGCAGGAGACCAAGGGCATCAGCGTTGAACCAGTTCCAGTGGCGTGTAACGAGTGTCAGGCCATCGTAATAATGCGTTGAATAGCATGCCCTGCCCTGCAGTATCTCCTCTGGTATCGGAGGAGGCCGTGCAAACACGGGGGGCTGCACGAACGCGATGGCTTGTGGATGGTGCGCTCTAACTGCCTTCAGGTAAAGAGCACATTGGGGAAGGAAGAAGGTGTGCAGAAAACGTGCGGGTTCTTCTGTTCCTGGAATACGTGCGAAATAATCCGGCTGCATGACATATCCACTCTGCACGTCCCATACATCGTGCAAAGCCCATACGCATGTACCAAGCGTCCAACCAGGGTCGCGTCTCCAGCCCCAGCGTGGGTGGATGCCTCCGGGCTCCGTGGAGGGATCTGACCACGCCTTGACACCGTTAGGGTCGATGGTGACACTGCCATCACGTTTTGGACCCATAGAGCCAAAAGTGTAGTTGTCAAGTGTCTGCACCTGGCCCATACCAAGACGGAAGCTCTGCGCTGGTGACGGAACAGTGCCCTTCTTGAGTGTGGAACCCTGTTCCACCGGATACGCGTTGAGGTCATTCCATGAGATGAGCCCTTCTGCTGGCTCGTTCATGCTGTCCCACCCAATGACAACTTCGTCAAGAAGGTCCCCAGCTGCAGCCACTCGCTCCGCCAACTTTCCAAAAGCGTTTGCGAAGTGCGTCTGAAGGTATTCCTGAATGTTCACCCCGTCGATGATGCATTTCGGGGCGAACGTGGAGCCACCGAAAAAGAGCGCGAACATGGTGTGCGAGACAAGTCTGCCGTAGTTTGTTGACCATATCATGGCAGGCAATTCTGCGGGGTTGCGAGACGCGGGAGTGGGATACTCGCAGTGAATTATAGCTGCTTGTGTGGCACTGAATGCGGATGGATTAAAACCGCATGCAACAAGTGTCCAATAAGGTGCTCCTGAACCGCCTGAAAAACGAGACCACTGAACGGCGGATTAGAAAGAAGTAGCAATGCATTTGCGAAGAAGCTCACGGTGTCTTGGTGAGGATTCATATAAACTTTGAACCCGTGCGCTTTGCATTTCCGTAGTATCTCTATTGTATAATCCATAAACTCATAATCATATTTCCCCCTGGTAAAAATACCATCGTTACCACGAGCTGGGAGATGACATGGATCGAGTACTCACGGTCCTGCATGTTCTAGGGCTTCCCAAGTTATAGGAAATCGCAACATATTGAAACCCCAACCTCGCAGGCGGGCGAGGTGCTCGTCCGCGTCATCCAGCTTCAGCGGTCGGCCTACGAAACTCTCACTGCCAGTCTTTGCTTCTTCCCAGAATCCATCTAGGACCTGGGAAGGCTGGTTCACGGGTGCCTTGGATGAACCAGATAGGTTCACTCCGCGCAGCAGAAGGGTACGACCAGCGTTATCGACGAAGTTACCATGGAGCGTATGGATAAATGAGGCGTCCACAGATGGCACACGAGGCATGGTTATGACAGCAGATTTAATCCAAAATCCTTATGTTTTCACCGCAAATTTTGCTGTCGTCGTTCCAAGAGTAGTCGTCGTACTGGTGTGGGTAAAGAACTGTGGAGAAGAGCCAGTGCCTAGCAGCTTGAGCAATCATCGTACCACAAAGAAACAAAGGCACCATTTCTTAATATAGATTACCGCCGGCATATCCATTTATGGTGGTTGTTGTCAAGTTCCGGCGGGATGGCGGGTGCCCTGTCGGAAGCAAACTCAACCTTCCACATGGACAGGTGTGTCACCCGCTCAAATAGTCTTATCTCTTCTGTCGAGACAGCAGCAGGAATACTCAACATGATCCCTCTCGAGACATTGTTTTGGTAGCCAAGCTGGTCAGTTCAGGTACTCACTAGGCCACCATCGAAGAAAAACAAATTCACCAGACACGACGGCAGGTGTAGCAATGGCGGGGAGCCGTGTCTCGACGTACGTCCAATCAAGAGCTGCTGATTACTCCAGCCCTTGAGTGATAACTAAGCAACGATGACAGGTGATGTCATAAATACTGGATTGCGTAGAGATATAACCCAGCTTGGCTTGGCACATGCGAATTCGTGGGACTATCCATCGCAGGGGTAGCTATCATGTAGAATCATGACCTGACCGTGCTTCCCCCAAAATCAGGGTCGGACAATGGATCTAGGACTGACAAACATACATGTCCTCATTACAGGTGCAGTCATTTCCTGGTCAACTTGCTCGTGATTTCCTCACCACAATCAGGCGCAAGCGGAGGCATTGGCCTTGAGACCGTCAAACTCTACTTATGTATGTGTATCTCTATCGTCTTCGCTCTTCCATAAATCTCACTGACACCCTACAGCCCTCGGTGCAAATGTAACTGCACATTACAACTCCAACGCCAAACCCATCCAGGCTCTCCAGGCCAGCTTTCCCGCACTCCAATGCGTTCAAGCAGACCTCTCCTCCGAGTTTGCCGTGAAGCACATGTTCGATGTGCTCTCAGGCATGCCGTTCGGCCCTGTGGCAGTGGTCGTGGTCAACCACGGCATCTGGCCGCCCGAGGACGTCCCAATCGTCGATATGACTATCAAGCAGTGGGACAAGACCATCAGCGCAAACCTCACCTCAAGCTTCCTGGTCTGCCGCGAGTACTTGCGTCACTTGCGCACAGCAACAGACGGTGTGAAAGACAAGGCTGCAATTGTGCTCATCGGGAGCGTAGCGGGCAAGTACGGTGAAGCAAACCATGGCGATTATGCTATCAGCAAGAGTGGTAGGTTTTGCTGGATTTCTCTATATTTCGCATGTGAGCTGAGCGAGATGAGCAGCAATGATGTACGGCCTGACGATGACACTCAAGAATGAAATTGTGAAGATCGCACCAAGGGGACGCGTAAACAGCATTGCACCTGGATGGGTTGTAACGCCCATGGTACAAGAGGCACTGAACGATCCAGCCGTCAGCGGACCTGCACTAGCTGCGTGAGTCATTCTGTTCACCGTGCAACATTAGTGGGGCTTATTTCCTCTTGTAGAACTCCACTGAAAAAGCTTGCGACGCCTCTCGACATTGCAAACCAGATATCGGTACTGTCTTCATCAGTGGTGTCGGGACATGTGACTGGGCAAGTAGTGTTCATAGAGGGCGGTTGTGTAGGTGACTTTTGAGGCTCAATGATTATCCACGGGTGAGAGGACGAAATATAGGAGCATTACTAGTGGTTCTGCACAATACAGCAAGATGAAAGCAAGTGGGCAGTATATTTTGTTATGGCTAATCGCTGATGCAGACAGTAAACTCTGTTCGAGAAATGTGCCAGTCATAAGGTTCAGTGCGTAAGAAAATTGACGGAACGAACGAGAGGAAGCACTCTCAGAGCCTCGGTGCAACTCGAAATAGACGTCCATCCCTCAAGAACTTCCAGTACCCAGGAGGACGGCGACCCGAAAGCTCGTATATACCAGATTCCGATGGATTGCTCTCCGACTGCGGACTTGGCATCGACGCCATGTTGACGCCAATACCGTAGTCGAGGGGCTCTTCGCACCCAGTCCCAGTATTGATAGTACAAGCTCACCAGAATGCAAAGTAATGTCCTTGTCGATCGGTGATTAGGGCCACATCTAGACTTATTGCTTGGAAGGGCATGGCACCCTCTTTCTGTACCCATGAACTCTTCGGAGCTCTGATCTTGGCTGGGAGGCTGTCAGACTTGTCAGGCAAAGAGGACGAATGAACATACGATGACGATCACCAGGCCATTGCGCAGCAGCCCCACAACCAGCGATCCGTGGTCGCACCCTTTCTACGTTGTCTGTTGAAGCAGAGCTGCCCAAAGAGTTTTGACCAGGCTCGTCAGTGGAGTCTCCTTGCAGAATACTCCACTGCATATTTCCCCGTCGTCCTAACAAGAATACAGGTGTGCCATCCGTTTGCAGTATTGTTTGTCGACTGTCTAAGAAGCCACGTCGGGAACTATAGGTTCAGCCAGCTCGGACATCGCTGGAAGCTGATGTGTATGCAAGTTCAGTGACTTGAAAAAAGAGGGTGGAGGTCTATGTAGGGATATCTGCTGACGCTTGGTAAACATATACGGAGGTTCATAAGTACATGAATCTATCATAATACCTTTCAAAATTCAGAGACGCCAAGTTGATAGGCTTGTGGGAGAATTTCTGAAAAGTCTAGACCGTTCACTTCGCCGGAAAAGGGAATTACTATGTCTTTGGTTATGTCCGACAAACATGCGCAACTACGCTTCTTGTGCACTATACGATGGAACATGAAACCCTCGGAGAGATGATCGATATGATCTCTCGTGAATTACCGATCTATTCTCAGGAAACTCCACAACGCTGGAACGTTATGCTGTTCAGCATTTCCGAATGTGACCAGGACGGTCCGACAGCATCGATGGACGTGTAACGGACAGGATGCGCCAACTTTCGTTGGTGACTGTTTTCCGGAAGCAACCGCACGGTGTATAAACAACTCTCCACCTTGTTCTCTGAGGGTACCATATCTGCTATTGTTGTGACTTGCTACATCAGGTTTGAGCGCTGAGCGGTCGTGGCACACTGATCCCATCATTTCCTCCGCCATGCTCCAAAACTAGCTTCGGTATGTCCGCATGAAAACAACTTGATTCTTATTTGCATTGGTGCGTATAGCCTTTCCTGTTCCTTGCGAGATCTTCTATTAGGGTTTTATGTATTGCAGTTGTATTGCCTCCCTCAATTTCTAGCGAATGAAATCAAGGATGAACTTGCAACTGAACTCGACGCAGTCCGGACCGGGCCCATACATTTATTTTCTTAGTGACTCGTGCCTGTCGTGCCTGGCATGTGAGCCTTGTAGCAGGGTATCAAGATAGTCAGTTCGAGAAGGTGCGTTCAGGGCCCTCATAGCACAAAAACACTGAAACTCCCAGAGAGTACTTTTTTTATCCTACAGAGTGGCTTCGACTAGGCTTTTAATATTGAAGCGGTAGACAGAATTGAAGGGTGCATAAGTAAAAAAAAAATTCTAGGAACTTCTACGCTCAGCTCAACAGATATGGTCCTTCTTCATATACAGGCACAGGAATCCCTTTCCGCAGCTCGCGCAGACAGCTTTAATCGTCCACAGATGTGTCTCATTCACATGCCGAGTGAGGCCATCCTTCCTGACAACTTTCGAGCACCCGGGCTGGGTGCACCTCACTTTTTGTTGCCTTCCCTGCACAATGGGGAGAGGTAGTTGTTGGTCGTGTCCGACTGAAGAATCAGACAAGGCCTCCCCCTCAGAATATGTGTCATGAGGCAGGTGCAAATTGTCCAATGGGTCTGGTCGCACATGGTAAGCGTTCAATGAAAATGCTGCGAATGATCGCGAACTCACCTCGGAAAAGTTGACCGACGGGACGATCTGTACCCTCTGGTAGATTCCCGATAGATTCTATAGGACTGTACTCTGGGTCCGGAAACTGGCCTTGGAGTACTTGTGGATGTGGCAAGTAGAAGACACCGGACGGAGTCAACAATGGTGAAATTGCATTGAGCTCATAAAGCGCAACTGGTACGATGGTCTGAGGCTCGTCATCGACGATTGCTTGGAGGTCAATGTTGCCGTCCCATGCGCTAGAATTCCCCACAGCATCTTCTGGCTCGCACCTGGCAAGGAGCTCTGTCATGCGGGCGCGGATCTCTAGGATTTCCAGCCCGAGGATTTCCTTGTGAACATGGTCCATCTTTCCATAGAGTCGGTCAAGGCACTCAAAACATAATTTTAAGGTTAATCTCATTGAGTCGTTATCAGGGACATGCCCTAACTGCGAGGTCGGCGTCGACGAGGGGGTTGTTGGCGTCAATGTGGACCTAATTAATGGTAAGCCCACACATTCATCCCAAGACTACGAAGCGTGAAGTAGCGTTACCTTAAATGCATCCTCATTTCTGAACGCTGAATCGCAGATTTAGTATGGAACGTGGAGGTCGTGCAAATTCCACCTGCTAGCTTTGACAGGATTCCTGCCTTTATATTCAGGTCTGAGGCCCTTTTGTTGATCCTCCGTGAGTCGCGCATTGGAAGTGGCGGTCAACGTAACACTTGGCGGGACGTACTCCGACTGGAGTGAGTCCTTCGATGTTTTTTTTTTTCTCAATTTTTCTCAGGGAAACTAAATTTAGCAATTCAGGGTGGTACTTATATCCTCTTTCTTCATAACGAGATTGGACCGTGTGCCAGCTGGGCACCCGACGAGATGAGCTTAGCGTCGGAGAGTAGAGTAGAGTTCACGAGTGCCGCATGACATTGCAATTATCTGCGCAGTCACCTGTTGAGTTTTTCTTTTGCGCCTTTCAAGTTGCGAAACAGCATGTCTGTGAGTGAGACTGAATATCCATGCAGCTTACAAGATGTTTCATGCTGTACCCGCTGGTGGCTAGACACGACTTTCTGAGCCAGGTGGTGCAAAACGGTTTCCACCTGCCGATCAAATTGGCTCGAGGACTATTTGACAGGGATTCACTCGTGGACGGTCAGGAGCCCCCTAGTCGAACAATATCCCGTGTCTCGGTAGGGCTACAAAGAATACACGCAAACAGCAGCGAGTTTGACGTCACGGAGGCTAATTGTGCGTAAGTACTGAAATTTAAAATGCTTCGTGGGGCATGGCGCAGACTAAATATAATCATTGATATCCCCTTGCACAGCCAGCGGCGGCAAGTGCCGATCAAATCCATGCAATATCCGAGTGCTTCTCGTGTACAGTAAACCTGTGCAGTGGCCCACGGCAACTTGTCGCGGTTTGTTATGCATCCCTGTGCACAGGAAACATTCCTGCGCATAGGAAACATTCCTGCGCATAGGGTACGTGGAATCTGAATGAATAAGCATGTTCTAATGATATTATGAAGAAAGTCGTGCTATATACTCTTCGCAGGATGTACGGCGCAGCGTTATGTTGGCTGCCACGGCCATACGCTGGAGACTGCAGAGAACTCCAGGGCTCGAAGATATCGATCTTAAACATGAATATAAGGGGAGGGATTTTGCACAGGCTCTCCTGCATTCATATGACTTGCCGCGCCATCCAGGATCGGCGAGAAGTCAGATTCAGCACTCAGAATGAGCATGCATCTGCAAAAGTAAGGTTTCTTTACGTGTCGTAGATTCGGGATGAAAAATGTGTCGGTGCCCCGCAACCTCACTGTACTGTCCTTCCCACACTAACCAGGGAAAGGACGACTGTCTTCATTCGATCAAGGTCTGACTACGGAAGACTAACATTAACCAGTTTTTTGTCTGTCCGAAGACAGCCCGCCAGTCCTCTCTTATTTGTTCCAGACTCCCCAAATTTCATACTCACAGCGACCCTTCGCTGAGCGATGATTCAGTTGTGCATGACGCCCCGACAAACAGACGTATCCCCCGAATTTCTCCCAGGACGTTATTGCTGGTTCCGCGCAGCGGTAAGTAGAGATGCAATTGTTACGTGAGACATCCAACTAAGAACACGCCGACTGCATCAACGTTTGTCCAAAATCTAGGTCATTAGCTGGGACGATGCATCAAAGTTCAAAAAGTGCGTATCTTCCACAGGACAACCAGGTCGTCCTAGTTGGCTGTGCAGAACACGCGCCCGACTTCGTTTGCGACACGAACGCTACTGCAACTACATAGCCTGTAGAAATTGCCTTTAAGATTCAGCACTCTTCAGAGAAGTTAGATAGTCTACAAAAGAAACGCATCATCAGGGTAATTCCTTGAAGTGGGGGTCGAGTTGTAATCTGTGCCAAGATTGGGGTCCAAATCGATTCATGACTTGCGCATTGATTAGGTAGGGAGAGCATTCACTCGAGAATCCGTGAATGCCGCAGGATTCAAAGCTGTATGTGGGGCTGATGTGCCCACGACAGTCAAATATCATCGGTTTCTCGACGGTCGAAGGATTGTTCAAAACCTCCAACGATAGCATGTCATGGTATGAGGAGAGCTCGAAGTTGAGTGATCTGGAAAGCTGCGGCGACGTAATTTGGACGTAAGTACCCTGACGCTTATGATAACAGCCTCGTGTATCGGCATCTAATGGGCATGAAGCGGTATAACAACGCCCAGTGCACGCACCTCTGCAGCTTAGAGCAACATCCACAATTCCCCTACCACGTCCGCTCCGGTTGTGCTCAACATGGGGCAGCTCATTTCAGGCACCAGACCCGTTCGAGTGTTTAAAGATCATAAAGAGAGCGTAACTGCAGTCGCAGTTTTTCCCGATGGACGACGTATGGTCAGCGCCTCGTTCCAGGAGAAGACACTTCGTCTGTGGAACTTGGAGACAGGTGTTCTGTTGAAGAAGATGGAGGGACATCGAGATGGGATCACTAGGGTATGGGCATTAGCTATATCACCAGATGGGCGATTAATAGCAAGCGGTGATGCCAACGGAGAGCTCATCATCTGGTGTGGAGAAACTGGGGAATCCCTCACCGGAATCATCAGCGCCCATCAGGAATTCAATGACCGTGGCAGTGTCATCACCTCGTTAGACTTTTCTCCCAATGGAACAGTGCTAGCCACTGGTTCATGGGACTATACGACAAAGTTGTGGAGCACAACTACGTGGCAGCAACAAGGAAATCCAATCGGCTGTGCTGCTCTTGTCAACTGTGTTCGGTATTCCCCGTCCGGCGAACTTCTTGCGATTGCAACACAGAGCAGTGTTATCGAAATTTATAATTCAGGCACTAGGGAATGTGTTGCGAACTTTAAGGGTCACACATCATGGAGCTTCTCGCTCGCCTGGACGCCCGACGGCACTCGCCTTCTCTCGGGAGGAGATAATCTCGATCGCACTATACGGGAGTGGGATGTGTCGACCTGGAACCAGATTGATGATCCCTGGATGGGCGGTGTGAGCACTGAGTCCAATGCCATTGCCATTCATCCAGGTGGCATGCTTGTTGCTTCTCCATCTGGAGATAAAGTTTGCCTCTGGCGGCTCTCTGATCGAAAAACAATCGCCGTCTTCAAGCATTCTGCTTCTTGCACAACCTTCTCTGTGGATGGGAAATACATCTTCAGCGGAGGTGGTGATAATAAAATATCGCAGTGGGCAGTACCCAAAGACGCTTTGCCCGAGGACATTTCGGAATCAAAGGTACTTTCCAGTTGATTTTACTACCCTTTCACCATCTCATCCTGTGTCTTTTCCAAGGCCGAAGATTCTGCTTCGAATTCCAAGGCATGCTGGCAATTTCCTTCCTTGACTCGCATAACACAATTTAACTATGTTTCATGTAGATCCTCGCCATCAAACCGACCGCTCGCAATGCATGCATCATGGGGGACTTGCATATTGCTGAAGAGCTATTCACGCAAGAGATCAACGCCGACGCGGCCAACAACTACACCTCCTATGCCAACCGCTCATTCATCATGGCACGCAAACTCGAATGGGATCACGCGCTTCAAGATGCAGTCGAGGTGAGATACCGTGACCCACCATTACCCACTTAATGTAGACTAACGTTGATCGTCAAATAGTCCATCCGCATACAGCCCACGTTAATAGGCTTTATTGCCAAGGGAATTGCCCTCTGCGGAAAAAGGCAGATACGAGACGCTATGAAAGCATTTGATTTTGCGTTCACATCGACGAACGGAGATCCAAAGAAGAATCATTTACTTTTCTTGATCAAGGCAGGTTAAATTTTCATTGCCAACTCTTCACTTCATCACGGTTTTCAGGCCATTACACTTTTCAATGCAAATAAACATGAAGAAGCAATTTTGCGCGTCGAAGAGCTAGCCATCGATTTTCCCGATACCGATCCTCTTGCTTGTCGTGTCGTGGAAGTGAGCATAAAGTACAGGGTTGTGTACTGGCACTAATTTTCTGCGTGCCGCATATCAGGCGTATCTCCGAGTTCAACTGGGAACTATTGCCTTGGGTAGCAAGTGTCACCAGGAAGCTGTCGACAACTTTACTGCCGCTGTCAACGCTAGCGCTTTCTTTTCTGCATGGCCAATTCATTCCATGTACGAGGAATTCACCGTGGTGCGTTGGCATGACGCAACAAACATCCTTTTTATGCTCAACTGCGCGTTTTTTGCAGCTCTTCGGGTGGGACCTCGAGTCATTGTGGCAAACCGCACACAAGCAACAGTGTCATGCACTCATTCAGGCAGGTAGACTTGGAGAAGCGCTCGAACCGTACCGGAAGTTGATGGACGCAAGTGATGAAGCTACCAAGGCCAGCTTACGTGCTTGGTTCTCTAGTGAGTTGTTTCAGTAATGCCACTCATACTACGGTCCTCAACCGCATTTCACTCAGCTATAGGGTAAGCATTTCGGTTGAGGTGCGGATCTCGCCGCGAGCGGTGCCTCGTGCAGGTTGAAACATAGACCTTCGCGCAGTTCTCATTTTTACCTCGACATGACCTGTATACTACACAAATAGCCTTCGTACTCGGTATCGTATACTGGGTCGTATTGCGAAAGAAGACTAATACTCTACCATGTTCACACACCGAGTCTCCCACACTGCCGACTATGAGTGTTCACTCGGTACGTGCCCGTCACTGTATGACCATGCGAGAAACCAACAAGTATTGAATCTTGTTGGTGCGGATGACCTTTCCTGTTTCTTTTGAGATCTTCGTATCCGTCTCTAGGGCTTTACCTGTCCAATGGATGAGCTTCCCCTCGAAATAGACTGTAGCGAATGAAGTCAAGGGTGAACCTGCAACCACTTTCATAGCACTCATCGCGGTTCGGATAGGTAGGGATGTACTCAGTAACTCGTGCCTGCCTCGCAGCAGGGTGTTGCGATCGTCAGTCCAAGCCAGTGTGTTCAGGTAGCAAGAGAACATCGTCAACCCAGAGAGTAGTTCCCACCTATAGAATGGCTTCGAATAGGTTTTCAAGATTGAATCGGTAGAATTGGGAGGCGCGTAGGTCAAAATATAGCAACGGCCCGACAGATATGGACCTTCTCCATAATGAGTGCGCGAACCCTTTTCCACAGCCACTTTCGGGGACTGGTAAGACAGAAATCAAACTCTACGAAGCAAGGAGTCCCGGGAATTACTTATGCTGAGCGCAGTTTCTCGCTCGAGTTGGGGGTGGGCGAGCAGATGCTGGTGCCGATTGTCCCCAATAGCTGACAATGGAGTGACATGCGTAGTGTTCGGCCAACAAAGACTCTTGCTGTCTCATCGTTAGACCGCTCACCACAACGTAATATCACGCCCGGTCCTGGTTGTCAGCATCTCTATAGTACAAGCTCACCGGCAGGCAAAGTAATGTCCTCGTCGAGATTCTGTTTGAGGGATGAAGGGCGCGCAGCCATCTTGCTGTACACATTCTCCGATGAACTCCGATCTCGTCAGGCGAGGAGGGAAAATAGGCATGACCATGACTGTATGAGATGCACTTTTTTATTGGCGGAGTCAGGGAGAATTCCCCCCAGCCTCGTAAGATGCGTTGAGCAGCTCGAATGGGAATGCCTTGTGCATACTACCAGGTAAAACCGCTCCCATCTGCGACTTTGCACGTGATGCATGGGCGGTAGTTACCATCCCTACATAAATGTGGACAATAGAAGGCTTGTCCAGGAGGCACAGGTCGTTGCCATGCGGGCAAGCAAGCAAATCAACACACGGGTAGTCGCCGCTCGAGTGCGTTTTGCAGGATGATGAAAGACGAGTTGAGTAAAAGAGATACCTGGTTGCAGAATTGATTATGTTCAGTCGAGAGGGCCCACTACGTACAGAGTGAAAGGGTTGCTAACTTACTGGTATATGATGGGCGTTTATGAAGAGGGGCCGTGATGATAGAAGAAGCGACGTGAGATCCATGCCGTAGCCGTGTGAGAACAAGAACCGTAAACAAGCACCTACATGTTGGATGATGGGAAGAAAAATCGAGCATTACTCACCACAGAGAATCGACGAGGTAACAATATCCCCGAAGTACGTTCCTCGGCAACAACTTGAAATGCTACTGACCGTCTATATCTCTGTCTAGGTCAACGTGACATGTCAGGGGCTCCTGATGCAGCAAAATATGCGTCCTACCTCGCTTTGAGAAGGCAGCAACCGACACCAACGCGGACTATGGAAGGGCACACGGAAGCAGTGCGGGCAGCGGCGTTCTTCAAAGACGGTCGACGAGTCGTCACTTCTGCAAACGACGGAACTCTGCGAATTTGGGACGTGGAGAAAGGAGAATTAGTAGGAGAGCCCTTCGAGGGACACAGGAGCTGGGTGAGATCAGTCTCCATATCGCCGGACAACAGTCGAATTGCGAGCGGTTCAGATGATGATACCATCATCATCTGGGACTGTGGAGAGCAGGGAGAAAGTATTCCACGCAGTGTTGAACTCTGCATGCCGGGCTTGGTCGGTGTGTTTCTCCCCCGATGGGAAAAAACTCGCCAGCGGGATGTATGATAAGACAGTTATTATATGGGATGCGAATTCGAAGACCCGACGCTATGCTCGCGACACTCCAAGGTCATAGAGCTTCCGGTTGCCAGTGTTCGCATTCAGCCCAGATGGCCTAAAATTGGCCTCCGGTTCAATCGACAATGAGATCCGGGTATGGGGCACCGATGACTCCGCCGAATATCAATTTCTTTTCGAGATCGACAATAGAAGTACGGATTGCAAGCGTTGTTTGGTCGCCCGACGGTCAGCAACTTGTCTCTGCAGATAGCTCTGTATATGACAAAAGAGTCAAATTCTGGAACTCGTCTAACGGACACCAGATTGGTCGTACCTTGCACTGGTCACACTCAGCGATGATCCGCTCGCTTGCCTATCTCTTCTGATGGCTCCTTCATCGCCACTTCATCGAAGTGACTACACTGTGCGGCTGTGGAGCACAAAGACACGCCAGCAAATAAGGCTGTCGCTCGAGCACTATCCAAAATCAGATGATGGGGCTTACTGTGTCGCAATCTCTCCCAATGGAGAGCTCCTCGTGAGTGGAGACTATGATGGGAGAGTTCTGCTCTGGTCTATTAAGGAACATACTCGAGCAATATAATGAAGAGGAAAGGATAATAGAGGAATTCGAAAGAGCAACAGCAACTCCTGCAGGTAAGAGAATACTCGTTATGTTCTGCCCTTCCTATTCATTCACACTCCGATTCTGCGTGGTGAGCAAACAGTTCAATCACGACTAGTCCAAGCAATCATTCCGCTAACGCCAAACTATTATTTGACGTGAGCTGTTTGCTTTCGATCTGCCTTCCACGGAACGTGTGCTTACTTCATGCAGATCCTCGCTATAAACCCGACACTCTGCAATGCATGCATTACTGGGGACCTTCATACAGCTGAAGAGCTGCTGACCCAAGAGATTGACGCATATGACAACAGACACGACTCCTATGCCAATCGCTCAGTTGTAAAGGACGCGCAATTCCGAGTGGGACAACGCGTTAGAAGACGCAGTCAAGGTCAGACACCTTGCCTATCATGACGCTGTCGATGACAGGTTGACTTTGTCACATAGTCAACTGGCATCAAGCCCTCGTTATTGGGCTACGTCTCCAAGGGAATCGCCCTCTGCGGCAAGGAGCAGCTTTGGGAGGCGATGGAAGCTTTCGATCTCGCTGTCATATTTTCGGATCGTGATCTAATTACCGTCGATCTTCTACTATTGATCAAGGTGCTCTCTTACTGCTTTCACCGTTAGTCATGCATACTGAACATTTCTATGTCATTTTGTCCAGGCTGTTGCACTTTTCAATTCTAATCGCCATGATGAGGCAATGCGGCGAGTTCATAACCTCGCCAGCTCTTACCGAACACTTAGATACGCTTCCGTGCAGCGTCGTTAACGTGAGATTTACGCTGAACCTGTTTTTTCTCATTCTGAAATACACTCCTCAGTCATATCTACGTGTGCAGCTTGCAATGATTGTTTTCGAGGATGGACGCTACGTCGAAGCCGCTGATCAACTCACGACCTGTATCGCCACTATAACCGACTTGTTCCTTCGCACGACACCCTTTGAACCAAGGTTGACGATATTCACAGTGGTACGTCACTACGAAGTCTTAGAGCACACTCTCACTGATTGATCATGTGCATTGCACAGCTCTTTGGCTGGGACCTGGATTCGTTATGGCAAATCGCCAACCAAAGACGGTGTGACGCATTCCTCCGCGCCGATCGCGTGACCGAAGCTGCCGAATCTCATCAATATATGATGCGCATGATTGACGATGCTGCGAAGCCAAGCTGCCTCGAATGGTCTACCGGTGAGTGGGTCTTGAACAGCTTGAACTTCGGGACTCATTCTAGTGTCCATTAGCCTTCAAGCACGAATGCATTGCGCGCTGTGTCACAAAGGGCAATGAGGCCGCTGCTGCGAGTAATTATGACACCGCTGTTGAACTGTATTCGGCAGCGGTTGCGCTAGATTGCTCACACCACTCCCTCTTTGCGAACCGCAGTAAGGCAAATTTGGAACGAAACCTATATGTGGAAGCCCTTCACGACGCGGAGAAGGTGCAATATCCATCATTTTCCCTAGTAATCGTGCTGATCGTGCTGATCCTATAGGTTGTTGAACTCGAACCCTTCGTCTTATATCGGATACGAATTAAAGCATGCAGCGCTTCACGGAGCACAACGTTATGATGAAGCAGTCATGGCCTTCAAAACCATGCTCTCGAAGTTGGCCAATTCTCCAGATGCGGATATACGAAGTAAGCCGGGAAGAACTCATTTGTCAACTCGAAGATGATGACCTCTTTCTGCAGAGCTGTGTCAGCAGTATGTCAGTCCGTCAGAAGTAGAAGACACTTTTCGAAGAGCCATTCAAGCACAACTGGAAAATGCTCCACTTCGTCTACTCAACACCTTCACTGGGCATGTGTGCAATCGAGAGGCGCAGATAAATGCCTTCATGGAAACCACAGAGTACAACAAGCTCTTTTATTCATCAATGACGCATGCGCCCCTCCAGACGAAGCCTATCAAAGAAGCAGTAAGAGACGTACTTCCAATGGGTCATGTTATCGCATAGATGGGAAAGCAAGGAGCCGCTTCTGCATGAAATCCAGGACAAGGTCGTGTACGATTTGGATCCAGTCGGAACCATAGTGAAATTGCAGATGTTCTGCAAAATGGCTCGTGATGCGGGGTATTGCTGGTCGTGGAGCGATACGTGCTGCATCGAGCAGAACAACAATGTCGAGCTCCAAGAATCAGTCAATTCCATGTTCGTCTGGTATCAGCCACTCAGCACTCACCATCATCTATCTATCGGATGTTTCGCCCTCATCCAAGTCTGGCGCACTCGCAAACAGCACTTGGAACACGAGAGGATGGACTGTTCAGGAGTTCCTCGCTCCTAACGTTGTTCTCTTCTATCGAGCAGATTGGACCCTATATCTCGACGACTGCTCATCCAATCATAAGCACTCTGTCGCTATTATGCGGGAGTTGGAGTATTCAACAGGCATAAATGCACAGGCACTCGTCGCCTTCCGCCCAGGAATGAAAGGTGCCCGAGAACAACTTCAATGGGCATCGAGCCGTGTCACCACATTGCAGGAAGACATCGCGTACTCGTTGTTTGGCATCTTCCGCGTCCACCTCCCAGTAATCTATGGCGAGAAGAAACAGAATGCGCTCGGACGACTCCTGCAGGAGATTATAGCTCATTCAGGTGACATTACCGCGTTGGACTGGGTCGGAAAATCGTCCGAGTTCAATAGCTGTCTACCAGCTGACATTTCCTCGTACAAAGCTCCACCATGTGCGCTACCTTCTCTATCTGAAGACGAAATGCAGATATCAGTCTCCGCGCTGCAAGATGCCGTGGCTGTAGAATTGGCTTCGAAACTCTATACCCTCCTCGATAACCTCAGTGCTCCGCGTTTCGCAAACTCCAGACTGCAATTACCATGCATGGCATTTCTTGTCACGGAAGTCAGACGGAGACGCAGTCAAGACCGGGAGTCATATTTCACTTATGATGTCAAGGCAGACGGTCTTCAAGACCTGCTAATCACCACCGAAGACAAACTGGTTCAATTCTCGCGGGCAAAGCCCACTCGGCAAACATTCCTGCTCATTCGTCCATGGAACCGTCATGACCTCGGGCTCCCTGACTTTGCAGACGACGAGCAGAGCCTGGACGGGTTTGTGCTCGAGTCTCCGTTGGACGATTCGTTCGGCGAAACTCTTGGAGAAAATGAGCCTGTTGATTTGGACTCTCAGTTGCGAGAGTTAAGGCTGATCGTTCGCCTTGGACAGCCTTTTGGTGCACTTTTGCTAGCGCAGCAGCATGGTGGGGAGTACAAGAGGATCGCTTCGGATCATAATATTATCGCGCAAGTCAAGGACATGACTGCTGTTGATGACATGATGGACGTCAGGACGCTAGAGATATTGTAGCTATGCATTCTGAAGAACGGATATCTCTGACACGAGCAGTACTTGCATTCATAGGCACTTGTATTATATTGTGTTCAGTGACCTACTGGGAAAGCGAACTACCACGATTGGATGATTGAACCGTTGCTAGCTGAGAAGACGCTGTTTGTCCATATCGTCGTGGCTACGTCTAGTCACTGAATATCCAGTCGACTCATTTGTGGCTATCATTGCTTCCCCAGCGCAACACATCGAGCACAAGACCATCAGCGCAAACCTCACCTCAAGCCTCCTGTTCGGTCTGTCGTGAATACCTGCACCACTTGCGCACACTAGCAAATAGTACGGAAGACAAGGCTGCGATTATCCTAATCGGGAGCAAATTGAATGGGCAAGTACGGCGAGGCGAACGATGGCAATTACGCTGTCAACAAGAGCTGTGGGTTTGTTGAATTTTCCTCTAATCACCATATGGGTAAACGAGATGGGTAGTGATGATGTATGTCTTGACAATGAGACTCAAGAGCGGGATTGTGGAGATCATAATATGATGACTAGGGGAATGCGTAAGCTGTACTGCACCTGGATTGGTTGTCGCAACTCCGAGGACTGAACGGCCTGCACAAGTTGCACCATTTGTCCCTCAGTAAGAATTGAAAGGCTGTGAATCTCCGAAGGCGCCTTTTCATCCCCTTCACCTCGTATCTCATTTGTAGCACTCCCTTGAAAAAACTTGCGACGCCTCTCGATCATATTGATAGAAGTAGAACTTCGGCCGTGCGTGACTATACGAAGATAGTATACTCAGTCGCGCACTCGAGAGAGAGACAACGCCTGGATGACATTACCTATACGAAGATAGTATACTGTAGGTAATTGGCATAAGTAAGAAACGCTAAGATCATAAGCGATAAGAAGAGTACTAACCTCAGTCGCGCACTCGAGAGAGAGACAACGCCTGAGGTACGAAACGCGTATCGTAGCAGACTAAATACAAAAAGGCGTAACTTAGTGATGAATAAAATATATGCTACGTGCTAGGTATATGTGACGGCTGACATTGACAGCGAACACCAAATTGAAGATATACGAACCAACATATAAGAGTGAAATATACGTAGTAAGGGCAACATTTTCAGTCCGAACGATGCGGACGACTTGCTAATTCCAACACATATTGCAAGCCAGATAGACTACACCGGCGAGCACAAATATAGACTACTAATATACCGCCGACATGTCCATCTGCGGCTGTGAGCTTGCGAATTCCTTTTCAGTCCTTTCCTCGCATTACTCAGTACGCATCGCCTTTCTTGTTCCTTTCGAGAACTCCAGAGTCCATATCTATCTTCAGAGCTTTCCCTGCTTAATGGGTGACTCAGCCTCTCTCGAGGTAGCGAATATAAGTGAACTTGCAACCACAATTACTGCGCTCCAGTCCGGCATACATTAGCGACTCGTGCCTGGCATGTGAGCCTCGTAGCAAGGTGTCGAGATAGTAGGTTCGAGAAGGTGCGTTCAGGTGGACTCGTAGCAGGAGAACTTTGGCATTCCCAGAGGGTACTTTTCCATCTAATGAATGGCTTCGAATATATTTTCAATGACACAGTGGAATTAGGCCGCATAGGTCAAAAAAATAATCTAGGCACGTCTACGTTCAGCCTTACAGATGTGCTCCTTCTTCATGTACGAGCGCGGAAAGCCCTTTCCACAGCTGGCGCAAACAGCCTTGACCTTCCGCAGATGCGTCTCGTTCATGTGGCGAGTGTGGTTATCCTTCTTGAGAAATCTCGAGCATCCGGGCCAGGTGCACTTCACTTTGCCTTGGCTGGTGTGCACACTGTCTGAAGAGTCAGACGAGGTCTGCCCCTCAGAGTACATGCCAGGCAATAAGTCTCATCGCACACGGTAAGCGTTTAAATAAAATGCTGCGAATCCTAGCGAACTCACCTTGGGGAATTTGACCGACGGGAGGATCTGCCCCCTCTGTTATCAATCCCGTATTCCCGACAGATCCTAAAGGACCGTACTCTTGGCCCGGAAACTGGCTTTGGAGTGCCAGTGGCTGTAGCATGGAGAAGTCAGGCGGAGTCGGCAACAGCATAATAGCATTAGGCTCATCGAGCACGTCTGGCACGACGGTCTGAGGCCCATCATCTAAGATTGCTTGGAGGTCAACAGTGCTATTCCCTGCGCCCGGATCCCTGATGGTGACTTCTGACGGGCATCTGGCAAGAAGCTCTGTAATGCAGGTGCGGATCTCCAGGATTTCCCTGTAGATGCCGATCATCCTGTCATTGTGTCTGTCAAGGCATTCGAGACACAATTGCAGGGTTGATCTCATTGAATCTTGATTGGGGGTCTGCCCTAACTGTGAAGAAGACGACGTCGACGGGAAGGTTGTTAGCGTCGGTCTAGACCTTACATGTAAGCTCATGTGTGAATTTCGAGTCTACGCCATGTAAAGGTAAATAAACCTTACTTTTGAAAATACATGCTCATTCTGACGCTGAATTGGAGATTCTGTATGGTACGGGAAGTCGTGCGAATGTAAGAGAATGTGTTAGTCGTTGTTGCGAGATTCTTGCCTTTATATTCACCTTTAAACCCCTTGAGCGCTGTCGCCTGCAAACTGAATTTGAATTCTTATGGCCGTGCGGGTAAAATGACGTTAGAGTACTCTCCGGACCTTGAGGCCTTGAGGGTTCAGAATGGCAATCAGGATGTCTCCGCAAGCCACGTGGAACTGAATTTAGCTCAGGGTCTGGTTTGTAGGATCATGAACCTCACTTTCTTCATAACCTCACAGGAACGGATTTGTTCAGATTCCCAGTGCGCTGTGCAGGTCTATCAGTTCACGACGAACCTGTATATCATCAAGTCAGAATCAGCTGCCACTGTCTGTGAGAACTCGAACCTTTCCTTGAGTTTGGAGAATTTGTTATCCACTCTAGAGTGTAATGGCATTGGAAATTAAACAGGAGCGAGCGAATAAAATAGGTTTGTGTTTGCTCGCATAGCATGTCTCTTAGTACGATACGATTACAATGATGGGTGTCAAATCAGGCAGGAAGCGGCTTACTGGGAAAACGATATATTCACAGATACCACATACAAACATCGAGTTTGGATGAGTCGCGGGCCGAATGAGACACCATGTGGTCCTGTCCTCTCCTGTGTTATCAAATACGAGTGTTTAGATCACTTCAACACTTTCATTCGGTGACAGGGAGCAAATTCGGCGCTTCATACGATGAAGGGACCCTGCAGACACTGATTAGTTGGCAAGCTGAGGAAAAATTGCCGAGGGCTGTACTAATTTCATTCAGATGGATGATCTTACTTGCACCCAGAGCGACAATTTCAGATGCACCCTCGAGATTCTGTGATCGGTTCATATCTTGCCGTTCAAGAATGCGATGCTTCCCTGTTAAAAGCTAAGCGCTAAAGGGTTTGGATGAATGAGGTCTCAGTGGCTCTCAACCAGAAGACAACAATCGACACTGGGTCGAACGTTCGTCACCGGTGTGACACAGTCTGTCACACTCACCATTTGCCGGAACTTCCTGGTTCAACCAGCTTCAAGATTGCTTCAAGATGTCTACTTGTCACCCAGCCCGGGATCTTACAACTGGCATAAGATCAGGTTCTGGGAAGCGCCACGGTGGAACCTAGTAATGTAGTCCGCGGACTATTATCTGAAGAGTCTACTACATCTACTTTATCCAAATGATGACGCAAGGAGTGGCGCCCACAGCTTGCTTGCCGTGATGAGGTGATAAGGCCATTTCATTTTGATGTTGATGTTACTTATGAATGATGTGTGAAAACTTGAACTTTGTCTTTCATAAGGGCTGCTCAAGGCTCAATTCTAAAAGGTTCGCGTTCACTTGGGATCCGAGCACCGCTAAGCGTCGCCAAACCTTGTCCTAAACAGGACTTGTACCTAAACCTTACGGCGCGTAGCGCCAACACTTGCTGTAGTAGTAAATTATCTGAAAATACATCCTTAACCTCAGCAAGACTCCTAAACCTCGTCATTCCTAACCTCAGCAGAGCTGACCCTTATCTCAGCCGTGTTAAGTAGCAATGTACAATCAAGTGCCCATTTTTGAGTGAAAAATGATTATATTATATTCACGAACATACTACATATGATGTACTCTATGAAAAGGGTTAGGAAAAGGTTCAGGAATGTTAGGGTTAGGCCTGACGAGGGTTAGAAATGTAAATGACAAGGTTTAGTGAGGTTTGGGATGTGCTTTAAGACTGCTTGTATACACCAAGTGTTGGCAATGTGCGCCGTAAGGTTTAGGTACAAGTCCCGTTTAGGACAAGGTTTGGTGACGCTTAGCGGTGCTTGAATCCAAGTGAACTCGAACTTTTAGAATTGAGCAGCCCTGTTACAGCTGATTGCAAAATTATGCGGAAACGCAAAAGTTGGATTTGAGTCTCGGAAACACCCGGACGAGGACCCCGTACGCATGGTCGCACTGCAGCTGTAGAGTCCCAACAAGTCTGAGCAGTGAGTACTAGGGCTCCGTGACACTTACTTGAAATGCACAAAAACACCCAGAGCTCGCAGTAGCACCTTCGATACACAGACCTTCTAGAACACAACGGTACTTGATAGCTGGTAGATTTTGTCGAATTTTATCAGCCTAATAGAAGTCAAGTTTCGAACATTTAGAATAAATCCATATCAATGAAGTGTATTTCAACCATTCTAAACTAAACTAAACAAAAGGTAAAGGAGATAGGTGTTTCGGGTTCCACGAGAGGTGCAAGAAGGTGTCGCAAGGGTTTTGGGTGCCGCGAGACGATGCGAAAGGTGTCCTGAGGGTGTCGGATATCACGAGAGGGTGCGAGAATGTGAAGAAGCTGCCAGAGGCAGGTACAAGATGATGTGGGAGGGTGCACCGTGTGAAAGGCTACGGAGAATGAGTGTCTTTAGATTAGTAAAATAAGAAGAAACAGAGGGAAGCAGAAAAAATTACATGCACAAGGTAGTAGCGAGTGAGCGAGGGGAGTGAGTACGACAGAGAATACAACAAGGCCAGTATAGATGTAATGATAACTGTACAGAATGCATTAATAAGTAATGGTAGAAACACGAGATAAAACAATGGAAGGAACTCATCAGCAGAATTGCGCCATCCATGTCCTCAGCATGAACGGAGATGGATCATGGCACCTGACATCCGGTCTAGTAGGTTCCCGCACAAAAATAACGCGTCAGACGCGTCGATGATCTCCCGCCTGCTAGTCAGTATGCAAGGTGAGGATCAGTGAATCGCGACACATCAGAACATCACTCACCTATCCGTGCGCAGTGAAGGCGCTGGCCAGAATATTTCTGGCAGAGTTTTCGCTGAGAACGTCGTATGTGCCGTTCACTGCTGGCACTGAGCGCTGAGCCTCACTTCCTGCGCATGCAAGTGCTGTGCCCTTCGCTGCTGCCGTTCGCTCAGTGTGATATGCTTATGGGGTCCTCGCTCGGGTGTTTCCGAGATCCAAATCCAACTTTTGCGTTTCCGCATAATTTTGCAATCAGCTGTAACGTTAAACAGTGGTTCAGGGACCTGAGAATGAATATGAGTTGAGGGCGGGAATCCTGGCAGAGGCTGGCGGGTGTCCTCACGACTTCCTCCCCTGCTATCCACGGTCCGTGAGAAGTCAAATTCCGCGTTCAGAATGAATAAGAATTCGCAACAATGCGGTGACTTTACGTGTCTGGATAGATGAACACGTGAGCTTACCATGAATTTACATCTGAACTTCAGATCGACGCTGACAAACCCCCCGTCGACGTCGTCTTCGGGGGTAGGGCAGGCCCCTGATCAAGATTCAATGAAATCCACCTACCAGCATCTGTGTTTGGTGAGTAGATATGTGGGTGTGTGTCCTGTCTCGAAAGGTACGAGGATGGCCTCCCCTATTCGATCCCCACTTTCCAGCTTTCATACTCATAGCAAGGCATCGCTTGAACAAGTGACGACCTGCTGTGCCGCAGTGCGCCCGACAGATGTACAAGGTTCCAGACAAAATCAGAGTCCTTCCGATTTCTGACAAAACGTCATCGCTCCATTGCTGATACTTATCTCATCCGTACTCAGGCAAAGACGTAATCGTTAATCGAGGCATGCAACTAAGAACAGTTATCATTCACGAAGAGCTGCTTTTACCGGATCTCTGAGGATTAACGCGCCGGGATGATGTGTCTCTTTCTTATGAATGCAAGGCTGGCAGGTCCAACGTTCACTGTTGAATGGAACAAATTAGACATGGCTTTGAACTGTTCCTATTACGCGTGGGGAATTTGAATTCTCAACTCTCGAAGGTAAGTAAATGGGAACGAGTGAAGAAGCATCGTAAAGTAAAGTCGAAAATGGGCTCATGTCTACTCGTATAGCATGTCTCCTTACTATATAATACTGACAATGATCAAAGATCAATTCAGGTAGGAAGCGGCTTACTGGAGGTGTTCATTGCCAAAAGGTACACTGAGTTTGGAGAAATCGTGGGCTTGGAGGGACATGGCGCCGGCCATGGTCTTGTCCCTTTAACGCCTTCAGTCGGTGATAGGGAACTACTTCTTTCTGAGAACTTGATGAGGCCGTGTTTAATTTGTTCCTTGCCACGGAACATCCGTGAGAGGCCTCTCTTTACGTTGACAATTTGAAGCTTTCCCTAGCTTAAGCAAGCGCTCTCATTGGTGGAGAGGACCAGAAGTCCGAGACTATATCAAACAGGGATCATTCAACGATAGTCTTTCGACGGCTCCAAATACTGATGAAGTACGATCAGTCGGATTGTTGAATGTGTGCACGTGGAAACGCACGAGGTCGCTTACGGTGAAGGGAACCTGCCAACTTATTATGAAACCATGACGCATGATGTCCTAGTACCTACCATATCTTGCCGTTCGAGAATGCCGATAACCCTGAACTTAAAATCAGATAGGTTGCCATGGAACTCGTGGCAGTGGCACACTCACTGCGTTCCAGGTGAAAGTGGATGCCATGTGGCAAGGTAGCTGTGTTATCGTTGACCTATTTTCTCGTCGGAAAAGTTCTAAGTCCCTCGCCTCGTAAGTACTGGCACGATTTTTTTCGATGAGGAAATAGTTAGTCTCCCGTAGTCAGAGCCTTAGTATGGATCATTTAATATAGATAATCAAGATCAGGTGTTCTGGCTAAGAATAGGAGGTCACTTGCCCAGGGAATCAAATAATCGATACCTGATACTTATCTTTCCACAAGACTTCCCTTCTCAAAGGCAATCCCCGCAAATCCCGATTTACCCTCATTTTATAGCAATGATGTGAAATTTTCGCTTCCGCGAAGAAGCCTGTCCCACTTTACGGTGAAGGGAGCCTGCAGACACGTTAATTAGCCGACAGCCTAAGGAACAGTTGTGATTAATTTCATTCGGGCGGATGATCTCGAGATGCTGAGAGTGTCGATTCTGCGAATATAGCCAAGCAACGCGGGGGCTCTTGCCTCGTGGCTAAGATTCATTCGGATGGATGATCTCGAGATTCGTGACGCGTCCATGTAGACCAGAGCACATTATGCAGAGGTAAGTAGCCACATGTCGAAATGTTATCCCTCCCATGGACGAGCAGCGCAGATGACTCGGAGATTGTACTGCCAAAGTTAAACTGACCTGCCAGACCTGCCACGGGCATAAACTGATTTGGGATTCAGTCTGCAGGCGACAGCCACAGACCTCGAACGTGAGTATAAAGGCAGAAATCTCAGAAGCTATGAAGCATTCTCTCGCACCACTTGCCCTGCTACCTAGAATCTGCAAGAAGTCAGATTCAGCTTTCAGGATGAGCACCTATTTGGAGTCAGCTTCCTTTACGCTTCATGGACTCGGGATGCAAACTTACCATGAATTTACCCAGGTCGACGCTAACAAATCCCGCGTCGATGTCATCTTTGCGGTTGCGGCAGGCCCCTGGTCAAGATTCAACGACATCGACCCTACATTCATGTCTTGAGTCCCTTGTCAGACTCCATGACAGGATAGACTGTGTTCGCAATGAAATGCTGGAGCTCCAGGCCCGCATTGCAGAGCTTACCAGCTGCCAATCAGGAGTTGCCGTGGGGGATTCGGGCGTATGTAATGACAGTGCTAACATGCAAATAATCTTCGATGATGAGCCTCAGACCATCGCGCTCGACCAGCTCAATGCTGTGTCACCGTTGTCAACTCTGCTTGACCTCTTCCTCTTGTCACAACCAGCACTCCATGGCCAGTTTATGGAACAAGAGTACGGTCCTTTAGGATCTGTCGGAGTTACGGGATCGCTATCAGAGCATGCAAATCCTCCTGTCGGTCAACTTCCCCAAGGTCAGTTGGACATTGGCAGCTTTTCCTTTAAACGCTCACCGTGTGCATACAGACATGGTGCTCCATGGCATTTCCAGTTCCGTCGGCGGTGAACAACCCTTCCTGCCTCAGCATGACACGTACTCTGAGGGGCAGACCCTATTCGACTCTTCAGAACCACTTCTCCCCAATGCGCAGGGGAGCCAAGACAAAGTAAAGTGCACCTGGCCCGGATGCTCAAGATTTGTCAAGAAGGAGAACCGCACTCGCCATGTGAATGAGATGCATCGGCGGAAAGTTAAGGCTGTCTGCGCCGGCTGCGGAAAGGGATTCGCGCGTCCGTATATGAAGAAGGACCATATCTGTCGGGAGTTTTTTTTTCAACATATTTACCTTCCACCGCTTCAAATTTTTAAATATTTTCGTAGCCACTCAGTAGGGAAAATAAGATCTCTCTAGGAGTGCCAATATTCTCTTGCTACAAGCCCACCTAAACGCATTGACAATCTCGGTACCCTGCCACGAAGCTCATATGCGAGGTACGAGTCAGCCAAACCGTACTGAGTTCAGTAATGGTGATCGCAAGTTCACTTCGAGGGAGGATTGGTCAAGATAAATATGGAAATCTCGAAAGGGAGATGCGCACCGATCCGATGATGGAATTCAATGGGGTTGTTCTCATGCAATCACATCAGCGCTGAAGGGACAACAAGCTTCGACTTTGGCTAATACTCGGCGCTCAGCTTCAAAGGGTATGGCTGAGGAAAGGATGCAGAATGAGAGTGGAACCAACTAAACTGATAGGCTAGTGAGTCACACGGTAGTAGATGTTGTATTGGTTGAAGGTGATACGAACAAGGAGAAGAGTTGTTGGTACATTGTTTGTACATATGTGTTGCCGGCTGTGGTCTATTACACAGTGGCACAGGCGAACAAAATGGCGAGTGATGTAACGTCGTGAGTAGAACCATGTCACCGATCTAGATCTCAATTTCAAAACTCCCAAACTCAGCGGTGAACCGGAAGACCGCCTTATATCAACATGTGTAGGGTGCATGTTTTCTCCGTGTCCGCTTGTGCAGGCTATGCAGACGAAGCGCCCAAGTGGTTCGGCGAGCTGACGTCACGGAACATTACATAGCCCATAGGATTGCTCTCGGAGGTGAGGGGCGCTTCGGAGATGCCAGATAGTGGACGAATGAGACGCGCCAGTAGAAATGAGATCCGTGCCAAGATTGGGTCCTAATAGACTCGTGAGTTGCGCAAGATGTATGTGGCCGATACATTACCCATCTTATAGGAAGAAGGGGATTTCCGTCTAAAAGCTTCTAAAGGTTATCTAGTAAATTTTCGGGTCTCCAATAGTACTGTAATCGGGGATGAAGCGACGGGTTCGGATCGCACCTGCCGTGTTATTAACCTGTTGATAACTGATGTCAGTAACAGTGGTAAAACTACCATGGGTTGTGAATGCGTCAGTGATATCCGGCTAGCACAAACGTTAACGCACCGCTGAAGATTCCGGGTAAGCTACGCAATATGATTGCTTCTTGAAGCTCTATAGCACACTTTCAAAACATCTTAGTATATATCACCAAAGATGCCGCCGAGCTTGAGCCTGCTTGAATGAATGAAAGCTAGCAGCTGGTTGTTGTTTGGTCTCTTTCTTCCTCCAGAGAAATGTTGGATAGAAACATTCAATCCTCATCTCTCTCGAAGATCGCTGGATAAAAGGTATCTGGGTGGTCATCTTTCTGTCAATAGTTGGACATCGAGGGACAGCAGCACCACGAGCCACGCTAGTCTTCAGAAACCAGCGCTTTTATCAGCCCTGTCCGATTCTTATGCGTGAAATGGTTCACAAGAAGAAGTGGCCCATCAGCGGCCAGCCTCGAGGCCATCTTGTGAGCAACCAAGAGCAATTTACTGCTTGCCCTAAAGCGGATTTTGAATGCAGCTGTGCATTTATGCCTTATCCACCGTTAGTCTCATCCGGGAAACATGCACTTGCTTCGTTCTCGTTCCCTCGGTCTTCTTAGCACAAACATGGCCTTCCAGCTCTCTCAGCAATATCCGACTTGTTCGTAAAAATTCAGTCTAGAGGTGCTTTTGATCTAACATAATTGGAATCTTGCAGTCCGCGCACAGAAGAGCATGGGTCTCATCGGCGGCATGCCCACATACACGCCAATAGAGGGTTTCGCTGTCCCCGATGTCCCAGCTCGTTGCCTCATGCTCGCGCGATCCACCTGACAGACTTAATTGGATCTTGGCGTGCAGATCTTTCTAATAGCCGAAGGCGCACAGCTACTCCAAGAACTGAGTGCTCCAAATATTGTAGAACTCAAGTTCTCTCCGCGCGGAACATACCTCTCAACATGGGAACGGCCAGATACGCCTCGTGTATACCATCGAAGCATCGGCAAAATCTCACTTCACATGGTTCCCCGCAGTCAAGCTGGAAGATGGCGCCCAGCACAAGAATCTCCGCGTCTTCTCCGCCTCCACTGGTGAGGAGCTCATCTCCTTCGCACAAAAGTCGCAGGAGAACTGGGACCTTCAGTACACCATATTCGAGTCGCATGCCATTCGTCTTGTTGCTCAGGAGATCCAGGTCTATCGCCCTGCTGAATGGAGGAAGGGAATCGTGGATCAGCTGCGCGTTGAAGGCGCATCGATGGTCTCCTTGGACTGAACTTGTCTATCGCAGTGTTTGTTGCTGAGAAGAAGTTATTATCATTTCCTCTCTGATCGCGCCCAGATCAAGTGGAATGATCTTGAAACACAGGTACTCGTCCTTACACAAAGGGAGGCCGACAACTCGAACAAGAGCTACTACGGCGAGACTGGTATGTACCTCCTCAATGCAGCAGGTAATTTCGACTTCCGCGTCACCCTGGACAAGGAGAGACCCATCCATGCCGTCTCGTGGAGCCCAAACTCCAAAGAATTTGGCGTTGTCTATAGATGTTAGTTATCTCCTTTGATCGCGGAAGCCGTACTAACTGGCTACTTTTCTTAGACATGCCTGCTAAAACTACACTCTTTGATCAACGTATGCGGACGCTCCATTATTTTGGATCCTCTCCTCGTAACTCTTTCAACCCACAAGGTTGCCTCGTTGCACGAGAGACGGAAGAAAATATGCGTGCCTTGAAATTTATCAAGTCGAGCACGTATAATTTTCTTCCGGATCATCGACGCATCGATGAAGGGCGTTGGGGCGGTGCCGACATACTTAGCTGCATCAGCATTTGCCTAGTTCACTGCATCTCTAGACTGCGAGCCCTCAACCCTATCCACTGGTGACTCGACAGCTCATATATCCCAGATTACGCAACGGTCACAGTCGACCAGTCCCACTGATAGACTCTTGCTGTTCTTCGTTGGACCACTCACTCCAATGTAAGTATCTTTATCCTGGCCGTGAGCATGTTTATAGTACAAGTCCACCGGCAGGTAGAGTAATGTCCTCAATTCGATGATGATCAGAACTCGTTGCTCAGAATTGCGACCCGCCCAGTTACTGTACCCATTCTCCGACAGACTCTTCGGAGCGCTCATCTTGGCTGGGAGGTTGTCGGACTCGTCAGACAAAATGAACAGGACCGATGATCAGATGCACTGGTTATTGTCAATGGGGGATTTCTCCCAGCTTGAATGGACTCTTGTCCATACTACCAGGCCGAACTTCTCCCACTTGGCCTATCGATGACTGTGCACACAACGCATGAGTGGTATGTTATTAATTAACTATCATCTGTGTCTCATGTGCTATTAGTAGTATTTAACTTGTCACGTGGATTCACTGGAACCGATCAGAGCCGAGATGAAGACGACACTCGTAGGCCCCGGCGTATCGAACAGGCATAGGAGGATAGTGTTACTCGAAAAACAGACAAGGGCAGTGATACCGCAGCCCATCGTTGCCATTATCACAGGGAGGAACTGTCTATTTGTGGTTACCGGCTCATGCTCGCTTGCGAAACTCAGCTGATATTAATATTCATGATTATGCATATGGCCTGATCGTGGTTTAAATCCCCGAAGCCAGCGAGTCAGAATCGGACAATATTAATGGATCTGGGTTGAAATCGTACCTATGTCACTTCCTGGTCAACTCGCTCATGGTTTCCTCACCCACATCTCAGGCGCAAGCCATCTTCCACTCTAATGCGGGCAAGCAGGCCTCTCCGCCGAACCGATGGTAACGCGCACGTTCGAAGCGCCCTCGGGCACCCCGTTCGGCCCCGAGGCAGTAGTCGTGGTCAACTACGGAATTTGGCGCCCGAGGACGTCCCAACCGTGAACATGACCATCAAGCACAAGACCATCAACGAGAACCTCACCTCAAATCTGCCATGAGTTCCTGCGTCGTTTGCGTACAGCAACCGACGGCATGGAAGACAAGGCTGCAATCATGCTTATTGAGAGCCCGGCGGGCAAGTACAGCGTGGTGAACCATCGCCACTATGCTGTCACCAATGGTGGTATGTTCTCTCGATTTCCCTCAACATATAGCTGAACGAGATGAGCAGGGTGATGCACGGTTTGACGAGGCCACTCAATAGCGAGATTGTGAAGATCGCGCCCAGGGGACACGTAGACTGTATTGCATTTGGTTGGGTTGCATCGCTGATAATATAAGAGGCAATGTACGATCCAGCTGGCAATGGACCCTCACTAGCTACACGATTCATCCCCCCAGTAACAATGGAATGGCAGTGTATACCCGAGTACGCCTTTCCATTCCCTTCTAATAGTGTGGCTTATCTCCTATTATAGCTCTCCCTTGAAAGACTCCTTCTCGACATTGTAAACGAGACACCGGTATCTCGAAACATGTTACTTGGCAAATGGTCTTCGCAGAAGGTGGCTGCGCAGGGGACCTTTGGGAGTGAGTACTGAGCGACGTCTAAGAAGGGAGAATGCAGTACCGCCGGCAGCAGGGCACAGGTATGCGTTGTCATATATGTTGTCATGGCTACTCGTGGACCACAGACAGGGAGCTTTGTATGTGTCAGCCAGAAGTCATGAACGTTCAGTATGTAAGGGATTCAGTTTAGGAGGCCAAAGCCCAGCAACTCAGCTGCATGCTCTCCCATCAGCGTCGATGCGACCGCACGAGAAACAATCATATTGAATCTTTATTCGCGTTGGTGCGCATCGCCTTTCCTGTTCCTTTCGAGATCGCTATATCTGTCTCTAGGACTTTCCCTGTTCAATAGATGACCCAGTCTTCCTCGAAGTAGGCTGTAGCGAACGAAGTCAAGGGTGAACTTGCGACTACCATTACTGAAGTCGGCTCGGTTCCATAAGTTCATCTACTCGATCACTCATGCCTGGCAAACGGGCCTCGTGGCAACAGAACACCGGTGCTCCTACAGTGTACGTAGGAATAGCTTCGAAGGGATTTTCAAAATTGAAGCGGCGGAATTGCAGGTGCGTAAGTTGACAAAAGAAAAATCTAAGAACCTCTATATTCAGCTCAACAGATATGGTCCTTCTTCATATACGGGCGCGTGAATGCCTTTCCACAGCCGGCGCAAACAGCCTTAACCTTCCGCCGATGCACCTCATTAATATGGCGAGTGAGACCATCCTTTCTGACAACTTTTGTGCACCTGAGCTGGGTGCACCTGACTTTGTTGTGGCTTCCCTGCACGATATGAGGAAGCGGTTGTTGGTCGCGTCTGACCGGGGGATCAGGCAGGGTCTGCGCCTCGGGGTACGCGCCATACTGGGGCAGGGAGGGTTGCGCACCGGACTGATATCGGACAGAACTAGAGGTGTCGCAGAGCAATGGATCTGGTCGCACATAGTAATCGTTCAAGAAAAACGGCTGCGCATACAGCGAGCTTACCTTGAGGAAGTTGACCGACGAGAGAATCACCACCATCTGGCAGGGCGTTAGTAGCCCCGACAGAACCTAAAGGACCGTACTCTGGGACCGAAAGCCATTCGCGGAATTCCAATGACTCTGGTAAGGGAGAGGTTAGACGGAGTCGACAATAGTGGAATAGCATTAGGCTCATCGAGCACACCTGGTGTGATGGTCTGAGGCCCATCATCGACGATTGCCTGGAGGTCAGTGGGACTGTCCCGTGTGCCCATGGCGATCTCCTCCTGGTCTCTCGCGAGGAGCTCCGTAACGGACCGTTGTTGGTCGCGTCTGACTGCTGGTCGCACATGGTAAGCGTTCAAGAAAAACGGTTGCGCATATAGCGAACTTACGTTGGGGAAGTTGACCAACGAGAGGATCTACGCCCTCTGACAGGGTACCAGCAACCCTGACAGATCTTAAAGGACGGTACTCTCTCTCTAGGTCCGAACGGTGGCGATAGAATTTCAATTGCTCTGGTAAGAGAGAGAGAGGTGGGGCGAAATCAACAACCATGGCATAGTATTAGGCTCATCGAACACACCTGGCGTGATGGCCCAAGGCCAAACCTCCGCCCGGATGTCAGCGGCGCCACCCCGTGCGCCCGAATCCTCCATGGTGACTTCTGACTGGCAGTTGGCGAGAAGCTCCGTGAAGCGGGTGCGGATTTCCCTGTGAGCGCAGTCTATCCTGTCGAGGTACTCAAGACATGACTGCAGGGCTGCTCTCATTGAAACTTGATCCCGCGAAGACGAAGTCGACGGGGAGTTTGTTGGCGTCGTTCTAGGTAAATTCATGGTAAGCTCATCTTTCCATCCCGAGCCTACGAAGCATAAAGTAAGCTTGCCTATACATGCTTATTTCGAACGGTGAATCTGACTGGCAAATTTTGGGTGGCAGGTGAAGTCGTATAAATGTGAGAGATTACTTGCTAACCTCTGCGAGATTCATGTCTTTTTATTCATGCTCGAGGCCCGTGGCGGGTCTGGCGGGTCAACGTAACCTTGGCAGTACAGTGTCCGAATCATTGAGTACTTTTTTGCTTTTTCACCTTGAATGGAATGCTCATGCTACACGAGGGTATCGGTAGACACGGCACGCAGGAAATATTAAGTGCCTCGCTTTCCGCCAAGGCCCAATGTTAATCACCGCCCGTGCCAAATCGATCGACGTTAATCTGCTACAGTCTAGGGGTCAGCTTTCGAATGCGTTAGCCACGTTTGTCCTTTCATTCTCTTCCATGGCAATCCACGATATAGAGTCATTAATCGCCGTCCGACTTTGCTCAATGGCAGCGAATCCCAATGCCCCCGGTCAGCGCAATCACACTTGATTAAACCACTACTAGTCTACCAGACCCATTGGTTCACCTTATGACCCTTACCTCAATGTTATCCGCTACAAAACTTACCGCTCGCATTATCTTCGCTGGGCGTTTCAAGTCAATAATAATGATTCGACCTGTCTGATTTGTAACTTTAAGGAAAGGTATTTTTAATTCTCATTGTGATTCTTGTTATGACTGCCCTTAGCATGGGCGCTATCGCGGTGCCTGGCTGGATCCTACATCCATTCACCGCCGCATCCAGGATGACAAAGGCGTTTGAGTCATGATTACTGAGGCAGAAGAACCCTAGACGCATTTCATTCATTAGCAAGATGAATTGAACACCCGCATGGCCTTCATATGTCTGGATGTGACTGATACTATCAGCGCCTATCTGGACGGGTGACTAACACAACCAGGTAGGGGTCTGCAGTCCCAAGCCATGGAGTGTGAGAATCGAATTATGGATCCCCAAAAACGTCATTCAATGTACATGAAACTCAATTGTCAAACTTTTCTGGTACAAACACAGTTAATACGTAGCATCCCTGTAGTGATACATCAAATCCCGGATATCAACAATGTGAGGTCGCCGTGATATCTTGAGCCAACATTTCTTGATGATGTCCTAGTCACAATTGTCAAGGGCAGGGTTTTTTAGTCTTGACACCTCTATGTGTGGTAACAACAACCTGGTCGAATGTTACAGTACGGCTGCTGGCCCATTAAACCTAGCACAAATGAGAACAAGAAGGCTGCAAATGTACGCTGTTGACCAACCGCATCTAAACGAGTAATATAACATTGCAACTGGCAAGGCGCAGCTTGCAGCCCATCGCACGTCGCTCCTGATGTAAGAGGTCCCGTTTAGGTTAGTCTCCCTAGGCAGACCACATGGAAGCTTGGCGGTTGATTGCGAATCGGCAAATGCAGCTCACTGATATCTCGAGCCAACATTGTTCGATGAAGACCCAACGACAATCTCCTCGGGACGATTAGACTTGGCACCCCTGAGTATGGCAACCTAGTGATAATGTACAGCTGCCGGGCCGCACAAATGAGAACAGGAGCCTGGCAGGTTTGGCGCATTACTTCCGAATCGGATGAGGTCCTGCCAGCGTTTAGGTCGGAGCATGCAATCGGTAGCCTATAGTAGCTTGCTACTCGAGCTCTTCTGCTGCTGTTGATGAGCGCATTGCTTTAAGAGGATGCGAGAAGGTTCACATGCATACACATTGCACACCGCACTTTTTCCCGCACCTGTGAGATCCACATTGACCATAAGCGGGATAATTACATCAGCTTACTTGTTTCCATGTAATGCGAAAACGACATAACATACGATATTGGAGACAGTCATAACGTTTATCAAGATATAAGCTCAAGGATCCGTTATGCATCCACGGAGAAGCGATAGCTAGTAGGACGTAGGTAATTTCGTACAGGGAAAGGATGTTATTGTGCATCGACCTCCGAGGATCATTGGAGTGGGTATTTTGGAAGAGGAGAAAATTGTACGGGACTGCGCGAGAGGGGGCAGGTGCCAATCATCGATCATCGGTCAGGCCTCCTCAGGCTAGTACTGGATCAAAAGAAGATAGTAAAATCTTAAATCACTGATCAGGGAAAATTGGTACGTACAGGAAGCCACCCGAATCTGGCATGAGAATCTCCCTGGATGTATCCAGTGATACGTTGCAACTGAACCACATGTATTTGACATAGCGGTAATCCATCAAAAGCCCATCTATGCCGATGTCAGATTGCCTGTAGGAGCTTGCTGGAAACAGTCAGGGAGTTACCTGTAATTGGTAGCCATAAATGTATTTGCCCAGTGCCCACGGATCGTTCCTTGGCCAAGTAAGGAGCACTGGGGTTCGATGTCCAGATATCATCACCACGCTGCAACTGCCAGGGCCATATTGAACTATTTTCACCCATATTCAGGTATGTGCGCCCAGCTGCTCATTTACAGAACTTGGTGGCGTTTAAAACTTACCCGTTAATGGAGGCCAAGAGGGCGTGTGGAGTGCGAGAGCCTGTAAGAAGAGCGAGAGGGGGTGGGATAGTGATGTCAGGTGCATGATTATGGCAGGGGCGGAAGGTGCAGAAGGTGCAGGACTCGCGGACGGCGCAAGTGACAAAAGGCGCTGGAGCTTTGGGAAAGGCAGTATCTGATTCTAGCTGCGGGCGGCGGTATGTGTAGAGATGAGGAATCATGAAAAATACCGACGCCATAAAGTAGTAAGTACCATATAGAGCAGACAAAGAACATGCCTCGAGGTTTGATGCATGAAAGTAATGCCAATCGTGAAACGTTTCGCTTACTCCTACTAACTCCCCCCAGGCACCCTTGGTCCTCGGAACAATATAGACAGGAAGTCAAATCCGTCTGATTTCGCGGGCCTTCGCAAATAGTGTTAGACACTTGGTAGTTATGATCAATGCACGAGAAGTTATGAAAACGCGTTGGGCGAGCAGTGAAACATTATGCGACGACCAAGGTCAGAAGCAACGTCCATGTAAAGGCATAATTCCTACATTTAAACTACCGCCGGCATGCCCATTTTGGCACCTCTTTGAAACTCCTTCTGTGCCTGGCCGAGGTCAGCATATCCATTGCTTACTACTGTAACTCAACTTTAACTCAACTGATTCGTGGCACTCCAATCCTGCATCCTTTCATATTTGGAGCCGAGTAGACAAAAAACCACCAATTTTTTCCCATCTTGACCGCACGCAAAATAGCCGTATTGAATCTTATTTGTATTGGTGCGCATTACCTGTCCTGTTCTTGTCAAGATCTCCGCGTCTGTCTCTAGGGCTTTCCCTGACCAATGGATGACCCAACTTCCCTCAAAGTAGACTAAAGAATGAAGTCAAGGATAAACTGGCGACCACCGTTGCTGAAATCAGCGAGCTTCCGGATGGTAGAATTCTGCAGTCGTATCAGAAGTCGCGTTGGCCACACGCTAGTCTGTTCGTCCTCTCATACTAAAGTCTACCTGCATAGATTGACCTTAACGCAACGCTACCCCCTATAAAAGTAACTTCCGTGCTTGAATCGTTGTTCCTCCGGCTGCCGGGGATCTGTCTCACTACCACCGGCGGTAGTTGTAGACGGGCAGCTTCTCCACCATAGTAACTTCCTCCCGACCTTCTCTAACCAAAACTCGCAATGGGACAAAAAGGCAGAATCATTTAGGTTGGTAGGCTCGTGATCGTGCCATTGTAATAAGGGCAGATGTGGTATGAGGCAAATGATAAGTACCTCACTTTCCACCAGCGTCTCTCTGGGGGTCCACAATTTGGCGTTGGTAAGTCCTCCCCAATATGACCGCACCGCAGCTCATGACTGCCGGAACAGCATGTTGGTGTACCTGCTGGTCCCCGATCGTATGTCAGTCGTTTTCGCATTACATCAAGATAAGTTGATATAACTCTCATCGCCCAGACTCCACTTTCACGAAGTGGCACGCACATGCGCATCTCACATGTGCCGGCAAAAGTGCGGTGCCCACACATACGAACCTTCTAACGTAGTCTCACGTCTGCTTGGAGTAATGTACTCATCAACAGCAGCGGAAGATGAGCTACTGACTACATGCTCCGACCAAAACGGGACGAAAGGAAAACCTGTGTCGCGAGCTTTTCAATCTCAGATGCTATTGCCGAATAATAAAGATTATTGCTAGTGCTCTACATAAGGTGTGCACGATTAGCAGAATACCGGTACTACGCTCCGTTGATCCTGACCACCAAAATTCCGCAGCCAGCGGCAGGTAAGTATTAAACCTTGCCTTAACCAAGGCAAGATCCATCAATTACAGCCGTTTGCATACTTACACGCAGACACCTCATGTCAGTTAGACGTCCATGGTGCTTGAGCGCTTGATGGCTTCAATGCCGTGAATTCAGGGCAGTGAACCTTTTGGGCTATGGTCGATGTAACACAAACAGTCGCATCGAGTCCTGATCGAAACGATAACTTTTCACTCTATTCAAACGATACTTTTCCAAACTTTTGTCCGCTTAATACACCAACAACAAAAAAGGAGATTTCGTCTGGGCTAAAGTCACCGGGTTACCTATCGGAAGGCCAAAGGGGTGTGACCCAGCTTGATGTCAACACCTTTTGCGCTGTTGAAAGATTTGAACCCCAGGGTTGGCTGCGCATGGTCGAAATTCGGCCCCTGTTATAACTATCAATTAGTCCAACACAATTAGGGGGGAAAGAACGGAACACGCGAGTGATATGTACGTGCCCGAAGCCAATGAGATGATATGGGCAAGTACTCCGTGCAGAAATGCACTATCGGTCACCTAGCAGAGATTAGTTCCGGGAACTTCTTATAATGAGAGCAGTGACCGACTGTCCCGAACGGCTTGCAATCGTAATATACAATGCGGTGTTCGGCCAAGCAAAGGACTTACTTATCAAGTTGGCAAAAGCGTCTTCCCGTCCGATATGATCTGATCGTCCTGTGGGAGTGGTGAGCAGCTGGCCTGTCGGGACATCCCAGAGTTGAAGAACTTCTCTAAATCACCTTCTGCGTCTAGCGAGTAAATGACTGTCCACGTCCTAAATATCTCTGGTCTCGGGTGGTCTGAAGATGTAGGCTTGGGCCTGATCATCGTCATCGTCAACAGGCATCGTCCCACACATTGTGTAAAGCCCGTATGAATTTTCTGAGGGTCGGGACGAGCAACACTGATGTATTGCTTGACGATGACAGTCCAGAGTGAGATTTTAGAGACTGCACCGGGGGATATGCAAGGTATATTGGCATCTGGATGAGTTACGATGTTGATGGTAAACGACACTCATGAACGATCCAACCGTCAGTAGAACTGCACTAGCTGGGTGAGGGATTTTCTCCACCGGGCGAGGTACCTAATACTTAGCGTGACTTATCTCCTACTGTAGGACTCCCTTGAAAAAATTGCGATGCCTCTCGGCGTCACAAACGAGATAGCGGTATTATCTTCACCAGTTGTCTGAGCCTCAGAATATGTAGCTGGGCAAGTGATCTTTGTACAGCATAAACAGCAGGACACCGGTACACGTGGCATTGGTTGATCGTCGCAGACCTGGAGCTCTGTCTGAGGGACGTGCACGTCAGCCAGAAGCTGGAACGTTCAATGTGTAAGTGATGAAAAAATAAGGGGGACGAAAGACGCCGCGCTGCAGCAGAAGCGAAGAGCTTCATTAATTCTTCACGCAAGTCAGGACCCCTGATAATGCCCATGGGGTCAGCGCTGATCGATGATCAACGCCCGGAGGCGATGCAAAGGTACGGTTGCTGAATATAAGCTACCGCCGGCATATCCATTTTGGTGCGCACCCACAACTCTTCTATTCGTGCTCGCATCAGCTTTGAAATTTGAGCGCTTGAGCTCTCCTTTCAGCGCGATATGATCGCCGCGAAATAACCCTCATCGAATCTTATTCGCATTGGTTCAACCCTCTGTGTACGTCTTGCCTCGTGCTCGCGTGATCCACCCGACTGACTTAATTCGATCCTAGTGTGAAGATCTTTCTAGCCGAAGGTGCACAGCTACTGTAGAGTTACGACCGTAACTTCGTCACGCGTCCCACCCCACAGCGAATCGAACCTATTTGATGTGACGGTCACACTAAATTTTGGGGAGCGAAGCTATTTTGTGACAAGCGGTAAAACAGGAAAAATCGCCAACAAAATCGCTACAGACAAGTTAGCACTAACTTAGCAGTGCAACCAAAAATCGTTATATAGGGTATTGGCTATGCATCTGCGCTGTCCTCTCCCTCACCTGTGTTCGAGGCCTCAGCGGCCTGTGTTACGCCGAAGTATAATAACCAAATAAGACCAAAGGTCTGTTGATACATTCAAGACAACAGTCTTAAGAACGCCCAAAGTAAAGTCAAGGCTAAGTACCGAAGAGGTAACTTAGAATCAAGTCAGATGTTCAGAGGAAAACCAGCGTAGGTTAAGCTGAAGAATCAGCGTCACCTAGCCAGGGTTTATATAGTACAGAGGGTACAGGGTGTGACGTAATAATATGTAGTATCAGTAAGCACATGCATAAGCAATGAGGCGTCTGAGTAATACCGAACTAAATATAGCATGATAAGAGACATGCATAGTAAGCGTAGATCAAGGGAAAAAGAAGTAACGTAAACACAGCCGTAACAGCCTGAGTATTTCCTGCAACCTCTGACTCACATGGAATGCAGCTGACCATCCTTTTATCCATTCTAAATGTGCCCATAGCAGAGGGCCCAAGGCAACGATGTGAGGATCTTTTGGTCCATATCACCACCAAAAGGAAGAGAGAAGATTGTTGCACCGAGTCGGGTTGCAAACCCGAGTCAGTCGGGGCGAAGCTAACTTGGATAGGTCACATGTCACAAGGGCCTACGAAGCTGCGAAGCTAAGTGTGACATGGTCACACCCGAAAGGGCGCGAAGCTATGGTCGTAACTCTACAGTACTCCGAGAACTGAGTGTTTAAAATATCGTCGAACTCAAGTTCTTTCCGCGCGGAACATACCTCTCAACATGGGAGCGGCCAGGTACGCCTCGTGTATACCATCGAGGCATCGGTAAATTCTCACTTCACACGCTTCCCTGCAGTCAAGCAGGAAGATGGCGCCTAGTACAAGAATATCCGCGTCTTCTACGCCTCCACTGGCGAGGAGCTCATCTACTTCACATGAAAGTCGCAGGAGAACTGGGACTTTCAGTACACCATATCTGAGTTGCATGCCATTCGTCTTGGTGCTCAGGGAATTCAGGTCTATCGCCCTGCTGAATGGGGGAAGGGCATCGCGGATCGGCTGCGCGTTGAAAGCGCATCGATGGTCTCCCTGGACTGAACCTGTTTTTGTTACTGAGAAGAAGGTATTATCATTTCCCCTCTGATCGCGCCCAGATCAAGTGGAATGATCTTGAAACACAAGTACTCGTCCTTACACAATGGGAGGCCGATAACTCGAACAAGAGCTAGTACGGCGAGACTGATATGTACCTCCCAGTGTGCGGACGCTCCATGATTTTGGATCCTCTCCTCATAACTCTTTCGACCCACAAGGTCGCCTCGTTGCACGAGAGACGAAAGAAAATATATGTGCCTTGAAATTTATTAAGTCGAGCACATATAATTTTCTTCCGGATCATTGACGCATCGATGAAGCAGTGCCAAACTACTTAGCTGCATCAGTCTTTGCCTAGCTCGTCGCGTCTCTAGACTGCGAGCCCCTCAACCCTATCCACCGGTGACCCGACAGCTCGTATATCCCAGATTACGCAACGGTCACAGTCGACCAGTCCCACTGATAGACTCTTGCTGTCTTTTGTTAGACCGCTCACTACAATGTAAGTATCACCTTTATCCTGGTCGTGAGTACGTTTATAGTACAAGTCTACCAGCAGGCAGAGTAGTGTCCTCGATTCGATGATGATTAGGTATAGCAGAAGTGGTTGCTCAAAAGTGCGAGGCGCCCAGTAACTGTACCCATTCTCCGATAGACTTTTCGGAGCTCTGATCTCGGCTGGGAGGTTGTCAGACTCGCTGGGGCATTACCTCGCATTGCAAGATTAATTTGCTTCGTCCATTCCGAGGATGAATCAAACACAATATATTCCGAAACAGAAATTATGTTTGGCCTTTGTTCGTTCTCTGCTCTGTGATACAGAGTCAATTACCGTCTGGCCTCGTTTAATTGCAGCGAATCCCAATGGTCATCGCAATCAAGCTATATTCCACTGGTACCTCTGCATTGATTGACCTTGTCGCGACGCAACCCGCTACAAAAGTTAATCACTACCGCTTGAATTATATCAGTTGGGCCTTCCACCCGTCGTGCACAGCCAATGATTCGACCTGTTTTGTTTGTAACATGTGCCTTGAGCATTCCCGTCGGGACTCACTAGGACTACACTATCATGCGCGCTATGATTGCAGTAGTATTGGGTGGACGTCCTTTCACCGCTAGGCCACAGCGGGGATCACAAAGCACTCAGGTTATGATTTGAATTTGTGTCCTGTCTTGACACATACGCTATAACTAGGAATTAATCGTCATATCATTCATTCATAGCAAGAGATGAATCGGACGCCCGTACAGCTATAGAACAGTTCTGGACAATGCAACCCGGAATGTGGCTCAGTAGTCGCAAGCCTTGGAGTGTGACAATCGAATTGATATTATGGATCCCCCAAGTTGTGTCATAAACCGACGAACCCTCATTTAATATGCATGAAGCTGATTGCCAAACTCGTCTGGTACAAACACAGTCAGCATCTCTGTAGCGATGTGAAATCCCGAATATCAGAAATGGGAGGTCACCCTGATATCTCGAGCCAACGTTGTTCGATGAAGTACCAGTCACATTCTTCGATCGCAAGGATATCAGGATGCGCGGGCTTGGCATCCCTGAGCACGGCCACAATAACCTGGTGACAACTGCAAATGTACGGCTGCTGGGCCGCACAAATGAGAACAAGAGCCCCGTAAATACGCCATTGCAAACCTGGTATGTGATGCATCCAAAAGGGTAAATATCACATTGTATTTTTGGTGAGCCAAGTGTATCATGGACGTCAGGAACCTCGAAAGGCTGTAGCGCATTACTCCCGATGAAGTCCTGTTTAGCTCGGTGGCTCATACTAGCCTGCTACTCGAGCCCTTCCGCAGCTGTTGATGAGTACATTGCCATAGGGGGATATGAGAAGGTTCGCATGCATGCATACCGCACTTTTTCCTACACCTGTGAGATCTGCATGTGCCATAAGCGGGACATATCAGCTTCCCTATCTTCATGCAATGTGAAACCGATATAACGTACAATATTGGAGACTGGCGGGTAAATATGCAAATTTTTACGACAGTCATGAGCTGCGGTGCAGTGACATTACTTAGTATCAAGCCGAACTTTTGGGCCTCAGAGAGACGATCATAATGTTTGTCCGCATCCACAGAGACACATACAAGGGAAGGATGATATCGTGCTACAGTTGTGGAAGTTGTGAGACATCAATCTCTGATTATTGTGTTTCAAATCATCGCAGTGGGTATCGTGGAAGAGGAGAAAATTGTATGGGTGTGCGCGAGAGGAGGCAGGCGTTGATTATCTAGTACTGGATCAAAAGAAGTCTAATACAGTCTCGACTCACAGATCAAAGAAGATACGTACAGGAAGCCACCAGAATCTGGCATGAGAATCTCCCCGGATGTATCCAGTGATACATTGTAACTGAACCACATTTCATTTAACATAGTGGTAATCCATCAGAAGCCCATCTATGCCGTTGTCAGATTGCCTGTGGAAGCTTGCTGGAAACAGTCGAGCAATTACCTGTGATTGGTGGCCATAATGTGTTTGTCCAAGTGCCCATAGATCGTTCCTTGGCCAAGCGAGGAGCACCAGGGTTCGATGTTTGGATATCATCACCACACTGCAACTGCCAGGGCCATATTAAACAAAAAAATTCACTGGTAACCCTGCTGCTCACCTACTTTCATCACGCTGTATTGAACTAAAGAAGAGGCCAGGCGGAGTCAATAACAGTGGAATAGTGTTAGACTCATCGAGCGTACCTGGCGCGATGGTGTGAGACTCATCATCGACGATGGCTTGAAGATCGATGCTGCTATCCCATGCGCCGTCTGTAAATGCAAATCATCCTGTCATTGAGTCAGTCAAAGCACTCAACACATGATTGCAGGGTATTTCCCATCGAATCTTGATTAGGGCCCTGCCCTAACCGCGAAGACAACGGGAGCGTCGATCTGGGTAGATTCATGATTGTCATCCCGAGTCTACAAAACGTAAGCTAAGCTTACCTACGCAAATACATGCCCATTCTGGACGCTGAATCCGACTTCTGGGTTGCAAGGGAAGTGGTGTGAATGGGAGAGAATACTTACTCGTCTTTGCGAGATTCTTGCCTTTATCCTTGCGCTCGAGGCCCGTGGCTGTCGCCTGCAGACTGAATTTCAGTTCACAGTGTATGCCCATGGCAGGTCTAGTATGTCAACATACACTTGCACTGTTGTCCGAATCTTGGAGCTCTTTGTCAGAACGGAGATGAATTTCAGAATCCAGATCTCAGGAGTGAGGGATATTTGAAAGTCCCTGGATACGACAACCTGGCCATCAGACTCGATACCATGTGTTGCAAAATTAATTGGCATGATCGCCTATTCCGAGCTGGATGTCAAACTCTATCTAGTTGTGTCTGGAATTAGAAGGTGTACTAGTTTTTTCATCTCTTACTATATGGAGTCAATCACTGTCTGACTTCGCTCAGTTGCAGCGAACCCCAACGACCAGCGCAATCACGTAATATTTCACCGGTACCTCAGTATAGATAAGCTGCCCGACTGTCCCGAACGGCTTGCGATTATGACATGCATAGCGGTGTTCGGCCAAGCAAAGGACCTACTTAGAAAGTTCACAAAAGCGTCTTCCCATACAATATGATTCGATCGTTCTGTGAGAGTGGTGAGCAGCTGGCCTGTAGGGACATCCCAGAATTCAAGAACTTCTTTGAATCACCTTCTGCGTCTAACGAGTACATGACTGTCCACGTCCTAGGTGTGTTCGGTCTCGGGTGGTCTGAGAATGCAGGGTGGCTTGACCATCATCATCATCCACAGGTTGACCTTGAGAGTAAGGTGGCAGGCCGCTTTGAAGATGTCAAACTGGATGTTTGTATGGGCATTGAAAACAGCTATTGGCCACGGGCGACAGAATGCCAGGAATGATAGAGGCTGATTCACACTTCACAGGTTCGCTTTCTTCGACACTAGAGCTGGAGTAAGAAGAACTGATACCATGAGAGTTGTAAGGATTACCAATCGTTTACCGCCGGAAGCTGCCGAATTAACGCTCACCTCAACCACCACCACCGTCAACCAGCAAGTCCTCGTCCTCAAATCTACCGCTAATTCCTCGTCACTACCAACTCATTCGACCCTTAGTACCCTTCTCTCGTCATTATCGCCCTATTCACGATCATTACAGTCTGGACTCGATCTATAACGCTGTCTCTCTCGTTACTTCGTCAATTATCATACTCGTTTACATCGCCACTCACCTAATCCTTTCGTACCATTTTTCTCTCCGTTCTACCACTCCACCCTGTCAGGCGCGACGCCACTCCCTTCAGCGCTCGTTTTCACATAATCGATTCGTCATAGCCATACACGAGGACCCTTAGCATTCGAAATAATAAAAGTAGCACATGTACACTCACTACGCCAGGCAATAATAACCAGTATCGACTCTCCTTCTCGCACTCGTCATCTAACAGTATCGCTATATCCAATCATTTATCGTCTCAAAACCCATCACGGTCCTTGTCGAATAACTTTCTTTAATGCTAATATATCTCTACAGCGCATCCTCTTCCCACTAGCGGTCTCCACGCCCCTTCGAACTCGCTAGAACCTCTTGGGTTCTTACAGATTCAAAGCTTGTGCCGGCGCCAATGAACCCATTGAGGCATCTTGGATGTTATCTGGGGGGGCTTAGAACCCTTACTGCTTCACCTGTGCGCAAGTCGTCGCTAAACCATAAGCTGAGATCCACTCATCCTCCCCAGAAAATGTAAAGGGTTCTTCTGCTGCTGGAACATGTGCGAAATCATCGGGCTGCATTCACATTGCACGTCCCACGCGTTGTGCAAAGCCGTATGAATTTACCGAGCGTCCAACCAGGGTCGGGACGAGCAACAGCGATGTATTGCCTGACAATGACAATCCAGAGTGAGATTGTGGAGACTGCACCGGGGGGACGTGCAAACTATATTGGCATCTGGATGAGTTGCGATGCTGATGGTAAAAGATGCACTCATGAACAATCCAACCGTCAGTGGACTTGCACTAGCTGGGTGAGGTGTTTTCTCCACCGGGCCACGTAGCGCGATTCGTCTCCTACTGCAGGATTCCCTTGAAAAAAATTGCGAACCAGATGGCGGTATCATCGTCTCAGCCTCGGGATATGTGACTAGGAAAGCGATCTTTGTGCAGCCGCATGAACAGTAGACGTAGCATTGGCTGATCGTCGCAGACCTGGGGCTTCATCCGAGGGACGTGCACGTCATTCAAAAGATGGAACGTTCGGTGTGTAGGTAATGAAAAAATCAAGGGGGGACGGAATCCGAAGAATATGTTCACCCCGCGCTGCAGCAGAAGCGAAGCTCGTTAATTCTTCGCTGCAAATCAGGACCCCTGATAATGCCCATGGGGTCAGCGTCCGGAGGCGATGCAAAGGCATGATTCCTAAATATAAACTATCACCGGCATGTCCATTTAGTGCGCAGTCTTTCTTCCTTGGACGTCGGACCCCACCTTATTCGTGTTATCTGCTGTTATCTGCTACCGTGCAACTCGCTACCATCAGCTTTGAGCTCCCTTGGATTCAGCGTGATATGTTTGCACGCGAAATGAGTTTATCGAATCTTATTCGCATTGGTGCGCATCGCCTTCCATCTTCCTTTCCTCCATATCTGTCTTTAGGGCTTTCCCTGTCCAACGACTGACCAAGGCCCCCTCGAAAGGGTGAACTTGCGACCACCATTACTGAACTTGGCGTTTCCGACGACTTGTGCCTAGCGTGTGGACCCCGGGACAGGGTAAAGAGATTGTCAATGCGTTCAAATGGCCTCATAGCAAGAGAACATTGGCACTCCTAGAGAGTATCCTCTTTTCCTACAGAAATGGCTGCGAAAATATTTACAAAATTGAAGGTGCCTGTGCCTGAAAACTAAATCTAGGAACTTTTACATTTGGCCCGACGGATATGGTCCCTCTTCATATACGGGCGCGCGAATTCCTTTCCACAGCCGGCGCAGACAGCCTTAACCTTCCGCCAATGCATCTCGTTCACATGGCGAGTGCGGTTCTCCTTCTTGATAAGCCTCGAGCATCCGGGCCAGGAACACATTACTTTTTCTTGGCTACTCTGCGCACTGGGAAGCAGAAGTTTTGAAGAGTCAGCCAAGGTCTGCCCCTCAGAGTACGTGTCATCCTGAGGCAGGGAAGGGTTGTTCGCCGCCGACGAAACTGGAGGTCCCATAGAACAACACATCTATTTGCACACGGTAAGCGTTTAGAGGAAAGGCTGCGAATATCGAATTTACCTTGAGAAAGTCGACCGAAAGGAGGATCTGCACCCTCTAACAGCGATCCTATAACTCCGACAGATCCTAAAGGACCGCGCTCTTGGCCCGAAAGTTGGTCATGAATTGCTGGTTGCGGCAAGAGGAAGAGGTCGGGCAGAGTCGACGACGAAGAAATCGCATCGGCTTGGTCGAGGGCGATGTTCTGAGGCTCATCATCGACTATTGTTTGTAGATCAGCACTGCTATTTCGTGCGCCTGAATCCCCCGTGGGGACTCCTGGCTGATAACTGGCAAGCTCTGCAATGCGGACACGGAGCCCCAGCATTTCATTGCAAACATAGTCTATCCTGTCATGGAGTCTGTCAAGGCACTCAAGACACGACCGCAGGGCCAATCCGTCGAATCTTGATCAGGGGTCTGCCCCAATGGTGGAGACGACGCCGACGGGGGATTTGTTAGCGTCGATCTGGGTAAACCCATGGTAAGTTTTCGTCCTGAGTCCACGAAGCATAAAGTAAGACAACTTTTGCAAATAGGTGCTCATTCTAAACGCTGGATCTAACGTCTCGCAGATTCTGGGTAATGGAAGTGGTGCGAGAGCGAGAGGATGCTTGGTAGCCTTTGCGATATTTCTGCTTTTATGTCTACGCTCGAAGCCCGTGGCGGGTCTGGCAGTCAACGTAATCACCTCGAACAATATGCACGCCGAATCACTTTCCTGATGTATCGGCTCAATTGGCGCCCGACAGCTGCAGTACACGGGAAACAATAAGCACCTTCCTTTCCGTGAAGATCCCTGATGTATCGGCTCGATTGGCGCCCGGCAGCTGCGGTACACGGGAAACAATAAGCACCTTCCTTTCCGTGAAGGCCCAATATTGATTAGCAAGTTGCGCCCATTCCAGATCAATGGGTGTCGGTCCACGTTTACGTGTTATCATTTGCTTTCCTCACCTGGAATCCTTTATCTCCGTCGTAAACCCTGCTATGTCCCAATGGTATGTGCAGGTTACAGTATTATATCGTGGACGCCAGACGGCTCAAGGTACGTTGATTCTCGGTGTCAGAGCTCAGCACGTTTCTCAACATCATCAGTCTTCTGCAAATTCGCAATCGTCCAAGAGCATGATCAGTACACACGTCAATTCGTCTGATCGGCTTGAACTCATTGTGGAATGACGTGGGGTGTGTTTAGATCTGGGGTGGCAACATCCCCGAGATGTCCAATGGAGATGGTACAGCATCGCAGACCGAAACTTTCGCACTGACGGAAGCATCGATGGTACACAGCATCGCATGGCCATTTACGCTGACAGAAGGATCGATGCTACACAGCATCGCACAAGCGAACTATTCACAGAATCATTCATGCCGACGGAAGGATCGATGGCATACAGCATCGCATAACCTATCCACTCGCCATTGATGTATAGCGTTCAAAAATTCATCATCATGTAGACCATTACGCAGAAGCGGCCTAGCTGAGATACAAACACGCTGCCCAAGTTCCGGCGTAACCGAGGACCCCGTTTGAAAGTTACTTCTTGCCGCTTGACATGTCTGGGCGTTCCACCCCGTCATGCACAGCAAATTATTGTCTTGCTGTAATATCACGGCGTACTGATGTATCCGCGTACGAGCAGTGCTGGACAAGTGGGAATGGCGCCTGCTCGAGCTCAACCTGTGGTTAACGCTGGAACGAGCATCTTGTGAGGATTATGTAACAGGAGTATTTAGACGCGTGTACGTAGATCACTGGTGAGCGTCGATGACATGGAGTGTGCGCTAGCTATCTTCATTAAACTGGGTGGCAATAGACCAAAGTACGCGGATACCTGTATCTATGCTCCACTGCTCGCTGCAATTAAATGGAGCGACATCTCGATGGAGGAAGTTGAATGAGGTTGAATGCTATGTGCAAACAGGGATGTGTATTTCGCATGAGAAGCGGAAGTACTGAAGCAGATATATTATTAGTGTTGGCTAGTGCCAATGCATTTACCAGAGTAGCGGATCGTTACGCAGCCAAGGCGCCCCTGTCGTAGAGGATTTACAGGAACACAGCTCTCTTGTTGTACGCGTGATAGTAAGATAGTATGTAGAACTAATCAAGGTGTAGCGGCACCGCAGGACCGAAACAACGGCAGCAGTGTATCTAAAGTAGGACGTAAGTAATTTAAATCTGGGACCGAACATCTATACAAATCGACCAGGCGCAAAGCTCAATACTGTTTCCGATTCGTACAATATCAGAATCAGAATCGTATCCATGTCCCTGCCGACACTTTGTTTCGGAGACCTCAGGCACCCATGATCATCTTGCACCTCAGGGTTTTATATTCCTCTTACACATCGTGCCAATAAATCATCTTTTTCAAGTATATACTCGTTCTCTCTAGCTCAGCCTAGTTATTTCATCACAATGCCGAATTACCTATGTCTGATCCCCACTCGGCGCCAAACGAAGGTCGATACTCTGC